AAGGTACATGCTGTGGCTTTAATAATACGTAAAATGTTCTTGAAGTATTGAGGAATATATTATTATTAGGGATGCACTGATCCAGCTTTTTCATACTTTGGCTTTAAGTAGTGTAGTGAGGTTCATTTGGTCTTTCTGGTTTTTGCTATTAGGTTCTTCTTTCTAGCCAGGCTGGTGCTACCTTGTGCCTCCACTCAATTTCATTTCTCTCCAGCACTTTGTCAGGAATCAATATACACTAGATGGTTCGCAGAAACCCCGGAAGTGCAAGTACGAGCACCAGCCAGTCAGCGAAGAGTGATATATTCAGTGTTGTCAGCCGGAATAAAGAGAATATTTAGTGAAATTCATCAAGGGGAAAGATGTTGTTGCCCTTTTTTCTATGGGATTTGCGAAAAGCTTAATATACCAGTTAGCCCCATTAGCGGTGCATTACATGCGTCATGACCAAATAGCAGCGATTGTGTAAATGATAAAAACTACCCGCCTACCGTCGAGCGAACAAATTCTAAGGCCGTGGGGTCAGATGGTTTGTACGAAGTGAAATGAAGTAAAACTGGCTGATGAATCAGGCTATCTTTTTTCAGACTAAGAGTTTGTTTTCATACAGTTTCGACTGGTCACTAGCGGTCTTCCTCAGAGTGGTCACGTGATGTCGCTGTGACGTGTCCTGATCAGCTGATTTATACAGGTTTATACCGGTGGAGGCAGGATGAAGGCGCCATCTGCAGTCCGACTTCCTCAGGACAGTATCCCAGGTGCGCCAAAACCTGCATACTGGTAAATCATTTGACTGGACATGTCACAGCGACATCACGTGACCACTCTGAGGAAGACCGCTAGTGACCGGTCGAAACTGTACGAAAGCAAACTCTTGGTCTGAAAAAATAACCTAATAACATACAACATTTGACTTTAAGTATCTGCTGATGAGAGATATTAACCAGCGTACTAGTGTAGGGACAGAAAATGGCACTCATTTCCTTAAAACACAGTTCACTGATTACACAAGAGCGTTACGTAACTATTATGTATCCTTCAAATCACTACTAAAGAACTTCAAATGCCCAAAAGTTCAAACATTATGTGACATTGTAAGGGCTATGTCTTATTACATCCATTTAAAAGCCAAACCAGGATATGGATTGAACCAATATCATGGAACTGATATCCGATCTGGCTAATTTCTCAGTATCGTATCGGTGCATCCATAAGTATTATCGCGGCCATTTATAACGTCTATGTATTACACCGGTGTGTTTTGGATCACATTACTCATCGGCTTATCTTCCCTAAATATTCCCTGCAGTCAATAGTCCCCATGTGTTCAGGGCTGTGAGGGCTGGGAGTTGCTTTTCCTGTCTGGCAGCTCCGGTTGTTTATACTCGCATTGTTGTTCTGGTGCCAGAGTTCACGGTGCCTTCACTGTACCCGGAAAAGCAGGAACACTTCTTGAACAACTAAACTGTATATTATTAACCGTCGTCTGAATCGTGTTAATTTGTTTCTTTACAGAGTTTTTGCACACTATTTTACTTATTTATAGGGTAATAAATTAAAAACTTTGATAATATTAGTTTTGAAATCAAGTCTGTTACTAAGGAATAGACTCAATACTCAGTACTGATACTGATAGCATGATGATAATGAAAAAACGCTCAAAATTAAATATGATTTTCAACATAATTGTAGTACTTTCTTTTATAATTTATATCTTATATCCAGTCTTGGGAAAGTTACTTTTAAAATGTATTTCCCTACAGATTACAGATGACATATCCCAAAATGTAGTTTGTAACGGATTCCATTAAATTACTTTAGGTGAGTACCGTAATCTGAATACTTTGGATTACTTGATATTGTTATGCTTTTTAAAACTACCTGAATGTAGCAATCACATTCTGAAAATTCTTGTTTGTTCTCTTCAAATTGTCTGTTGAGCCCAAGTCTCTATGAACAGGCATGTGTTTTTTAGAGTAGCAAATATTAGGATACAGTGTTATTTTCTGTTTTAAAATTACAGCTTATGCCAAACTGCCCCCAGTTAGTGCATTGCACTTTATTCTAAATCAGACCAAAGCGTATCGATTCTATGTAAAGTCTATGTGGACGCGCGACTAGAGCGTCCTGCGTTTTTTGCAGCGAGTTACGGCGTCAGCGCGGCGCGAATCTGGCGTCAGCGCAGCGCGTCTTCAGCGTTTTGGCGTCTGCGGCCAAGACGCGCGTCCAAGCGTCAGCCAAGAAGTTGAAAATGCTGAACTTTTCGCGTCAGACGCGCCGCGTCAACCAATCGGGGACGAGTATCCAGTGACGCCGCGACGTTATTATCAGGAAGAAAAACCCCAGAACCAGAACGAGAACCACAAACATGAACGAGAATAAATATATACGCCACAATCACCGAGCCGATCGCGAGGAATACACCAGGACCGGACCAGGACCAAACCAGGACTAGACCAGGACTAAACAAGGACTAGACCGAGATAGAATTAGACCAGGACTTAGACCGAGACTAGACCGAGACTAGACCACTTTTAGAAAACTACAGGACTAGACCGGGACTAGACCGTGATTAGCAACTAGACCGGGACTGATCCAGTGTCATTAGCGGAGTAGAAATATATATACGCCCCAGTCGTCGACCCGATCTCCTCCGTTGATGTTTGTCATAAAAACACTCTATCAGTCTGGTCTGACAATTCGGGAAAAGAGCGGGACCGGGTCTGTTCCAGGGCAACGGACGCGCGTCAAATATTTTTGTCCCGTTCGTCCACCCAAAATGCGCGTCGGGGCGTCTAAACTCAAATGCAAAGGCTCCAAATAGAGACGTCAAGGCGTTTTGACGCTTTGGTTGAACGGCCCTTAAGACAGTAAAAAATATCTAAATGCATTTGTCAAACGCGCCCCCCCAGGGGGGGCATGCAGAAAATTATTAGAGTAGATATCCTAATAGCTACTCTACAACAACATATTAGAAGACTGGGATATCTTAACATAAGATGTTTTGTCTGTTAAAAGATAATAAAAAGCCCAGTCTTTCCTTAACCGTATTTAAAAGATTATTGGTAGAGAAATGCTTTCTATATGAGATCACTGCTGCCTTAAATTATGTCCACCTACTGTTAGGTGTCATATTGTTTATTAAAAAAAAAATCACTTTCAGTACAAACATAAAGGCGCCAGCCCAGTAAAAATCTGTAATATTTGATGTTTTTTACTCAAATGATGCAGAATCAGATTATTAACAATGACGATTATTAACGACCTCGTCCACTGACGCCACCAACGTTAACGAGACTTTTACATAGCTCTTATTGTACGTGTTCTGTTTGCGTTTTGGCAATGAGTGGGATTACCGAAATAAAAAAAATAGAAATAACAAAATGGGATACAGCAGGAAACAGGAAAATACTGCCATTTATTTCAACAAAGTAACTGTAATCCAATTACCACTCGCTGAAACAGTAACTGTAACCGACTACAGTTACTCATAATTTGTATTCTGATTATGTAAAGTCAGTACATGTAATCCATTACTCCCAAACACTGCTTATATTTGTGTATCCCTCAGTGGTTCAGGTAGGTTCCATAGTGGGCCATGGCTGTATACTAGTCTATGTGCTCTTATACTTGTTCTGATACAGCTCAACATCATTCTAAAGCTTCATTTCTGTTCCGTGAGTGTGAATTTTTCAGTGTCAATATCTGCTCAAATGAGTACCTAGTTTTGATACTAGTTTTGGTATCGATTAGTATCTGATTTTTGATACTTTTGACAACCTTAACTGAACTTTACCAAATACATTTAAAGGCACATTTTAGCTACTAGACTGCAAACCATCTGATTATTGATCATAATAGAAGAATAGCAATAGCATATTATTTTGCATTGTGCCAGCTACAATCTCTGCAATTCTAGAGTTGTGTGTTCCTGTGTGTACCTGTGTATACTTGTGTGTACTTGTGTGTGCTTGTGCTAACAGCAGCAGGTGTAGGCTGTATAATCACACTGGCTCTTTCCTCCTGTGCGTCTCCAGGCAGCAGATAAGACCCAGTTAATGTTTAAACAGCAACAAAATAGAACCCGTGAGGATCAAATCAAAGTATCGTGTTTTCAAAAGTCTATTTACACTAGTCAGGCCTGGACAGTTTATGTAGCTGGTATTTTTCTGACAAACATGGCGATTACGACTAGATTTAAATATACGATTTTGTTTGAAGGTCCTGTATTATGCTGTTTTCAGAGCTGTCTTTTAATGTTTCCTCATCAAAACCTGGAGTTGTGTTTTGTTTCATTCACACATGTTTAACACATTAACCCTGCATATTTAGGCTGAGTTCTCAAACATAAAACACTCTTTTCCAGCTTGTTCTGTCATGTGGTAATACAGGAAGTGCTCCACTGTGTTTTTAAACTCCACACACCTTCACTAGAATAATTTGGATGATTTCAGTCCTGGAAATGCCAATCTCTACTGAATAAAAGATAAAAGGTAGCTCTGACTAGCAGAGTATGAAAAATAGTACTTTTCAGAGTAGTTTTCTAGCAGGGTACCTATACTCCTACTTGAGTAATATTTTTGTTGAAGTAAGAGTACTCTAACTTGAGTAAAGGTTTTGGTTGCTCTTGGCACTTGTAGACTTACTCATAGTGGAAAAAGTTTTATGTTGGCAATTTGAAATATAATGTTTTAGTTTTTTTTGTATTTTTGTGTCTGTCTTTTGAAAATACCAGATATTGTGCATTATTTAATGTTTTTCCTTCTAATTACATTAATTTCAAATTAGAAAACACTTGAGTAGCATTTCTCTCAAATACTTTTTTACTCTTACTTTAGTCATTTCTTGGACCACTGCTTTGTAATTCTACTTGAGTAATAGATTTTGATGTAACCGTACACTTACTTGAGTATAATTGATAATTTGTAACTTTTGTGTACAGCCCTCATCAAAATTATGTTATTCTATACTTATTCTCTCTGTTTTTGTTTGTTTTACAGTGTGCCCAATTCGTGTCCAGCCAGCCCACGAGGAGCTGGGATGTCGGGCTACCGCTACGGCCGAAATATAACCTCCGACCTCCAGCTGGCAGCAGAGTACGCCGCCAAGGCAGTGTCAGAGCAGAGGAGGAGCGGGGCGGAGCCGAGGAGTGGCCTGGGGGACGGGAGAGGCGAGGCAGCGGGAGGAGACAGCCCCAAGGTGAACTACCAGCTACAGACATTACAGAACTCCTATTAGCAGCAGCTCCAAATATTCCATTGATTGTTGCTGTGTCATTGGGCAAGACACTTAACCCCCTTGCTCACAGTGTCTGCGTGCATTGGTGTTTGAGGGTGTATGCAAATGGTTCCTTGTTGTAAAGCCCTTTGAGTGCCTTCAGGAACAAAAATGCTTTCTCATTAGATGCTCACAACATGATTTTTATTGAATAAGCAGCTGCATGGGAGAAAATCAGTTACTGGACCTTTTGAAAAACAAGATGTAAAATTCAGCCCCTATAAGAGCCCTTGTATTCTGTAGAATATCTGAAAGGGAAGGTACAAAAATTAACACTTGTGTTTGAAACCTCGCTTTGAATCATGTTTTCCTTCCTGGTGTTGCATTTAGTTTCATTCAAATTTGTTTGTGTAATCCTAGAACTCGGTTCTAGCTTGTATCAACAAGCAGTAATCCAGCTTCTGTCTTTTAAATCCACATAGGCTCAGGCTCATTCTCAGAGTGCCACACTAGTACAGTCCCTGTGGTTTTGGTTATGCAGGCTAACAAGCTAACATGTTTTGTCTTTGTTTTTGCAGGATGAGTCCAAACCTCCATATTCCTATGCACAGCTGATCGTTCAGGCCATTTCTTCAGCTCCAGACAAGCAGTTGACTCTGAGCGGCATCTACGCCCACATCACCAAGCATTACCCCTACTACCGCACTGCAGACAAAGGCTGGCAGGTAGGCCAAGACTACTTCAGGTACCATATAAACATGTGCATCACAGGACATTAGGGCTCCAGAGCCAAAATAGGCACTGTCTGTTAGACTGAGGGGGGTATTTCCTATTCTTCATATCCACTGTTCTGGGATCGACCCAGATGACTAAGGCTGGGCAAAAAACAAAAACAATACAAGAATTTTCTGTCACTAAAGGCAACTCACAATGGCTTCTGATACAAATTTTCTCAGTTTCGTCTGAATAGGACAGACAAACATTTAGTCAGTGCCAACACAAGAAGTATAATGGTCCTAAGTCTGATCTCTTTTACTAACAGTATTGGCTTCTAACCCACTCCATTAAAATGAACCAAGCTGGGTCAATTTGAAAACACTGGATCTCAAAACTTTTGATTGATTGCTTGTACATTAAAGGTTGTATGGAGGATTTTTTTTTGTTTCAAATTGTCAATGATAGCATTATAGAGATGCAGTAGCCTTGTAATTATGATCACCAAAAAAAAGAGAATAAAAATTCATCAACTCTGGACGTGGTGGGGCTAAACATTTGCCAATAGATAACGACACTGCCTCGTTATCTGTTAGCTGACAGGCTGTCAATCAATCTCCCTACGTTTCTAGCGTAACTGACTTGCCTGCGCACAACCCGGTACGTGGTTTACGTACGACTGTCACGCAAGCCGCACAGACGCAAGCCGCACAGACGCAAGCCGCACAGACGCAAGCCGCACAGCCGCACAGACGCAAGCCGCACAGACGCAAGCCGCACAGACGCTTTTTACTCCACCAACGCAACAGTTCTTAGCGGCTTTTTTTGACCTATATCTTCCTCGCAGTTAGCACAAAGTTTGTTGCAATGGCAGACAAGAATCCAGGAGCAGTTAGCCGCAAAAGAAAGTCCGTTTTTGAGATTGCTGAAAGAAGAAGACAAGGGGAATTCTTGAAGATTCATTCCAGCGATGGCGCGACTGAAGCAGACGCAGGGTCTAAAGACTGACGCATTGGTCGCCAAATTACTCCTGGACAGGTCACTTCTGCTTATTATGAAAACGTACTTTATTTCCAAGAGCTAGTCAAACGTTTTTCAGGACACGAAAGCGATATCCTATGTCTGAAAACGTAATTTTCAAGGCAAAGAAAGAGTCCGCTTGCTGCTGCGTGTTGTAGCTAGTTCATTCACACTGAATCTCCGCGCATGCTTCTCTGCACCCCTTTCCTGCTCCTGTCCCCGCTGCCCGATCCGCTCTTCCCCCTGCTCCTCACTTCTCCGGGCACGGAATCTCGGCGCACCGCTCTCCTCTCTCCCCTCTCCTCTCCCTGCTCCCTGCTCCGCTCTTCTCCCTACTCCTCACTTCTCGTCCACGCACGAAATGTCCGCACACCCGCTCCCCCCGCTCCTCACTTCTCCGCCTTGCCTAACCAACACTGTAGTTAGTTGTTTACAAGTCATGTGCAGCGCACCGGCTGTAAACAAACCTGTTTCTGGCATAAGGAGGAGGCGGGAGGAGGCGTTTCTACGTAGGGAGCTGTAGGGGAGGGGGGGTGGTTTCACGCATGCGCAACATTTGAAAAAGGACAAACAGTCACTGGATTTCTCGTTCCTTGGAAAATCCTCTATACAACCTTTAAGTATATTTTTGAGTGTGAAATGTCTGCCAGGTGAAAAACTTTAATCAGTCATTTAAATTTTATTTATAGAGGCCTTAACAACACTCAAGGTGACCAAGGTGCTTTCCAATAAAATCAACACAATATAAAAAAAAACATTCAAAATATTAAACAATTAAATAAAACTAATTGTACAAAGTGTCACTGCATTACTAAGTGTTAAAAGCCAGTCTGAATAGATGAGTTTTGAGCCTGGCTTAATGTAGGACCACAAGGTAACTGATTAATCCTTAGTTTTCAGCTTACTTTAGTGTTATTATTAATAGGCTTATGTTTGATTTCTCGCAATGTAAATATTAACAACAGATAATATTATGATAACCACATGCGTTCATATGAGTTGTGATGTGAAAATATATATATATATTTTTTTTTTATTCCCCAAAATTAGTTTTATTTGCATTCTGCACTTACACAAACTTTTTTGATCCACAAGAGAAATGACTTGGACACTGTAGCTCACACATCACATAAATATAAAATTAACTAATATAAATAAATCTCAGCTATCTGTGTATTCTGTCCAATCACAAAGTCTGCTGTTATGTCGCACGGTTTGACTTGCTTGCTCCTGTCTTCTCAGAACTCGATCCGACACAACCTGTCCCTGAACCGCTACTTCCTGAAGGTGGCGCGCTCCCAGGACGAGCCAGGCAAGGGCAGCTTCTGGAGGGTGGACTCTGCGTCGGAAAGCAAACTGGTGGAGCAGGCCTTCAGGAAGAGACGACAGAGGGGCGTAGCCTGCTTCAGAACGCCCTTCGGACCCCTCTCCTCCAGGTAGTGCTCCTCACCCCCACAGAGGCTTCCAGTGGGGCTTTCTCAACAAATAGTCATGACATATTTACTAGGAATGGACAAGTTCATGGTTGTGCACACTAGGGTTTTCAAAAGTACTGGAAATCAGAAACTAGTATCGAAACGACATACTCCAAATAGCTAACAAGTATAAGAGCACAGAGACTAGTATACACCCATGGACCACTATGGAACCTACCTGGACCACTGAAGGATTACACACATATAAGACCACATGAGAATATAAAAGAAAGTATTATGATTTAATCTTGAAATTCTTATCTATTGTCTAAATAAAGAATGTTTTTAATTCTAATTGTGGTAATGGAATTGGTATTAAGTATCACGTATTTAGTATCTAAGTATTGCAATTTGTATTGAAACACTGCACAGTAATTACATAATAATAAAAAGGCCACAATTTCTGAATTTGAACAGTTAAAAGATACATTCAGCCACAGAGTTCAATAGAATAAAATATTTTGTATGCTTATAGGAGCGCACCTGCATCCCCGACCCACCAGGGACTACTGTCACCCCCCTCCAGCGGCCTGCAGACTCCCGAGTGTCTGAGCAGAGAGGGCTCCCCGATCCCCCAGGACCACCACGAGCAGCTGGTTCACAAGCTGTCCTCTGTACCTGAGTACAGGTACTCCCAGAGCGCCCCAGGTCAGTATACACTACTATACTGCTATATACCGTATTTTATGGACTATAAGTCGCTCTGGAGTATAAGTCGCACCAGCCAAAAAATGTGTAATGAAGAAGACAAAAACATATAAAAGTCGCACCGGACTATAAGTTGCACTTTTTGGGGGAAATGTATTTTATAAAATAAGGGACCAGGAACCGATATTTCATCTTGAAAGGCAAGTTCTAGTAATAACAATATAGAACAGAGAACAACAGGCTGAATAGGCGTCTGGTATGTTAACGTAACATATTAACAGTTGTTCAGATAATTATAGCATAAACAACAGAACATAAGTTTACCAAACTCTCGTTCTCACTCCAAATCACTAAATCCATTGAATCCACTGAAGCTGTGTTCATCAGTCCCTCACAAGTTTCTCGCTCACTCAAAACTTTCTTTCTGATGCTCGATTACCATTTTCTGCTGCTTATTTCTCTACTTGCAGCAGGACAGCAGCTTTTTCTGCATGAGACATCCACAGAAAACTGACACACAAGCCTAGAGCGCCCTCTCGAGGCTGTCAGTTTGAAAAATTTTATGTATAAGTCGCAGGAAACACCCAAACCATGAAGAAAAGTGCAACTTATAGTCCGAAAAATACGGTACACAGAGGAGGATAGAGTAGCCAAAAACTGTTCTGTACGTAAGAATAACATTACTTCAAATGAATGTTATTCAAGTAGAAGTATAAAGTAGAGATCTAAGAAATTACTCAAGAGTAGAAAAGTATTTGGAAAAACTACAACTCAAGTAACTTTAACAGTGGAAGTTAGTGTAATTTGAAGGACAAAACTTTAAATGATGCACCAAATTAGGTATTTTCAAAGGATAATATAAAGCTTTTGTCACTTGTAGACTTATTTGCAGAGGGAAGAGTTACCAAACCTTTTACTCAAGTGAGAGTACTGCTGCTTCAGTAAAAAATATTACTCAAGTAGAAGTAAAAGTATGCAGCTAGAAAATGACTCAAGTAAATGTAACTGAGCGTTACTCACCTGTATAAACACGTTATCATTCAATGTTTCTTTTTTCCTTTTTGTTTAGTATTTTATAAATGTGATGTATCTACAAAAGACATCAAATATATGAAGAAAGAAAAAGTTAAACAACTCACTTGCTAAATATTTGTTTTTATATTTTAGATTAAAATTCCTCAAAGTAGCCATAATTTGATTTGTTAACAACGCTCCCTTCTCTTTGTCAAAAGCAGTGGCCAAAGCAAAGAGTAGCAATTTTTAACAATCTAAAATTTTAAGTTTGGAGTATTTTTTTACTACATTCCATGTGTGTCATTCATAGTTTTGATGCCTTCAGAGAGACTACAATGCAAATAATGGAAATAAAGGAGAAACATGAATGGGAAAAAAAATTAGTACAAACTTTTCTGCAATCTAGTGTATGTGAATCTTGACAGGGTTGCTCTACTGCTGCATTTTTTTTTTTTTTTTTGTCATCTAGTGGAGTTAACTGCCAAGTCAATGACCCAGTGTCCTCAACAGCTTATCTCACCTTATTACGTAAAAATGGCAAAAATCTCCTTACTTTTGCAAATAAATTGTACATACAGATGATAAATATTGAGCCCCAAAATATATTGTTTCAGCTATCATATATTAAACGATAAAAATTATAAAAGAAAGTAATATTATGATTTAAGGTTGAAAATCACATTCTGGTGTTTAAAGAAAGCATTTTTAAAATTATCAATGTGGTATCAGAAACATTATTGAGTATCAAATCTATTCCTTAGTACTGAAACCAGATTTTAGTATTTTGTTATTTCAGTATTGTGACAACACTAATCTGGGCAAGAAACCATTTGAACTGAACTGTGTGTTTGTTGTAGGCTCTCCTGTGAGCAGTGGTCAGCCAGTGATCATGGCTGCCCCCTCTCACCCCTCTGCTCTGCACTCTGCTGCCGGGAAAGGCCTGCCCCTGTTCCCTGGTGGAGTCCAGCCCTCCGCCGCCATGTTAAGGGTGATCCCCTCCAACGGGTACAGCTCCCCCCCAGGCCTGGACAGCGCCGAGCTTAGAGGTACTACACTCAAATTAAAGGAGCTGAATGTAGCCTGTGCCCTTATAGTTTCAAAAAGGTACTTCAGTCACTTCTGAACCTGTGTTGCCAGTACCTTAACCTTCAGCTCAAGGACACATCCATGGTTTTCTTATTGTCAGTATATGGGCAGATCATGGCTCATGTGAAAACTCAATCTCCAGAATTCACTCTCTGAGCTGCAGAGGCTGCACTACCACTGATTCATAATTGGCTGCAGGTTCTGTGGTTGAGGGAGTGATCATTCAGATCAGAGAGAGGCATTTTAGGTTTAAACCAACTGGATTTCAGCTTTGAAACTGGGAACCCAAATGAGAGACTCATGTGTCACTCATTCTGCTTTCTAACTGGCTAATCATCTTGAGAACCAAAACACCAAATTATAACATAAACAACTTGGTCCGTTGTTTTTGTAATTAAAAATAAATCAGTATAAGTAACTTTTAGAACAATACACTGATTAAGCATGTGTTAAAAAGCTATTTAGTGGTCATTGTTGACAGTCATTGTTTCGTGTTAGATGTATGTATGTAGTGCACAGTTTCTAATACAAGTCTGTGTTGTAATTGTGTGTTGCAGAGGCCCAGCTGAGCAGAGAGCGTGTGATACAGACGGTGGACAGGGCGGAGCAGGGGCCTGATGGACGGAGTGTGGGCCCCGGGCTCCACCACCTCCCTGTGAGGCCGGTCACTCAGAACGGGAGGCACAGCAGCACCGTGGTGGCCTCTTCTGCAGCCAGCCTCAGCAACTCCTCTGGTGAGAACACCCAAGTGTGTGAAGGAATCAACACAAAAGGGAGTGAGACTGTGATATCCGTACCTGTTTAGACCTGTTTCAACCTGTTTAGCTCATTGTTCATAAAGCCTGTAAACTCTTGCAGCCAGTGAGACCCTCACGTCCTTACTTGTCCAGGGGTGGTTCAGTGTATAGATGTGTATGGATGGATTCAACGGTGTTCATCTGGACAAAGCCATTTTCAGTTTGAGGGGACTGGTCTGAAACACTGGGACTTTACCCTGCTCTGAGTTCACTGAGTCCAGCTGTTTATAAAAGCGTTCTCAGTCCGTGGACAAAGATCATAATAAGCCAATCAAATACTAATCAGGTACTTGATGTTGAAGGTGAGAAAGCCAAGATAATAACAATATAATAATAATAATAGCGATAATGATGTTGGCTAGTAAACACGGGCAGGGCACTTTCACTCTAAAATTCCTTCCGCTGGGGCTGGACTTTGTGATCTCAGAGTGGCAGAAATACTTAGATCCACAAGCCAGTACCATCAAACTGAAAATGGCTTCTGGTGGAAGCTGAAACATCTTGATTGCAAAAAACATTGTCCAGTAGATCACCAATGATAGTGTCTGTACATTGTGTAGTCAGTCACAAATAACATGCAATAGAATTAATAATGCATTACAATTATATAGTGTTACAAGACACGCAAAGGCTCTTTAAATAACATTATTATTTACTCCATACTTGGTGGTGGAGGTAAGCTACTATTGTGCCACAGCTGCCCTGGGGCAGACTGACAGAAGTGAGGCTGTCCATTAGCCCCTCCAACCACCCCCACATACATACTACACAATGTGGGTGAAGTGTCTTGCCTAAGGACGCAACAACAGTTTGCAGTATAGCCAGTACCAATCTCCCATCCATGTAAGTAACCAGGCCCTGCTTAGCCTCTGAGATCAGACTATCAGACTAGATAGGGCATTGACGAGCAGGAATGGAGTATTGTTCTGCAGTAGTATTTCAAATAAAAATGTCACTGTGTCATTGTAACAAATACTGCACATACTTTGAATGAACAAGAACAGATTAGGAGCAGCCTGGTGTTCAAAGCATGATGGGACTGTAGTAGTGCATGTAAACAAACAGCCGCTCTTGTCTAAATAGAAACGCATGACATATGCGTGACCCGTCCCTCCGTGTGCTCCCTGTGTCCTGCAGTGCTGACCAGCCCTCTGCAGATGCTGGCGGCCCAGGCCTCCAGCTCCCCCCCTGTGCTGGTGAGCAGAGCGCCCCCTTCTGGAGATGAGCCGCAGGCCAAGAGAGCCAAGACGGAGGACGGCTACGGGAGCGAGTTGACCCCGCACCACAACGTCACCTCCGCCCAGCAACCGGTCATCGTCGCCATGGCGCCACAAAGCCACGAAGCCAGGAAGTGAAGCAGGAAGTGGAGTCCAGGTAGCCATCGGACAGCAGCATTACCCCAAACTGCTTTTCTACATGTGTGAGACTGCATCCAACAGCGCCTAAGGGAGTTTTAAAGGATTTTGTTCAGAAATTGTGAAAGAAAAACACCGCGCAATAAAAGTCAATTGTTCAGCTTTACTGTTTTTATATGAGACGTGACACGTCATCAGTCTGTTTAACTGTTCATGTTTAGGAAGGGACGTTTTCCAGCCAGCTCTCACCCTCTCGCTTTGGTCCACTGTAAATCTTGTGCTGTGTTCTTTCTGTCTCTGGGAAAAGCAGAAAAACAACTTTGAGCAAAATCTCTGGTTTTGGCTAGGAATTTTGTCCATACAAAATGTAGCTACAGAATTTTATGAAGTAATATTAGGGATACTATTGCTGGTAAATATTTAGCGATACCGATACTGGCTTTTAAACTCCATATTGAGGCCTACAGATCTATCTTAAGTTAAATAATGATCACAAATAAACTTCTCCCAACAACAAAATAAATTTTACTTAGATTTGACATAATTTAAGTAAGTTTAAGTTACATGCTTGTATAAACATACAGCCATATAAGTCTCTTCTGTTTCTGTTTTGAGTCTTTAGTCTGTTCAAAAAGGGCACACAGAGAATAGAACAATACATCTGTATATATGTATCAAGCATGGATATCGGCCGATACCAGTACCTGAACCCATATATCACCCTTGCCTATTTTATAATATATATAACAATAACAATATATACATTCAATTATATGTTTATTTACTTTAACTGGTTGTTTCCATGCAAATGTTATCACTTAGCCTGCTTCGTTCCACAGTTTGGCCCTATCTCCATATAGACAAAAATAACACTGTGCACCTTTAATGACCACCCGAAAAGTTACACCTTTAATATTGGTGTTATTACATCATGAATGGACAAATTTTCAGTTTTACGTTGGGACCTCAGAGATTCCGAGACAGAATGAACACCACTTTTTTTTACAGATAATTTAGCAGTCGTCGCTGGTCAAAACCTAGCAACAGCCTGCATCCCGAGTGGACATGTTTGTAGTTCTATATTCCGTAGAGCTGCCAAGCCACTGTAGGCCTTTACTGTTATTACTGCTCAGTGATTTTACTTCAGTTTTTCACATTATAAGGGCAGGACTGACAAGGTTAGCTACTATTTTTATGTTTTGTCAGAAGAAATGAAAATGAAGGGAATCTGAACCATAGATGGACAGTAAAAGGATAGTGGACCAAAAGTGAAAATTGAAAAGGGCTTCATGTTTAGGGTGACCAGACGTCGCTATGTACCCGGGACAGTCCCAGTTTTGATCCCTGTGTCCCCTGTCCCAGCAGATTTATCCAAAACCAGCAATTTGTTCCAAGTTTTATACAAGAAATGTCCCTTTTTTTTTACCAATTTGATCCCTGTCAACAGTAAAGAGAGGCATAAATTACAATCTGTTTTGGTAAAATACAGAAAAGCTGCTTAAAAACGACCAAAACACAAAGGAAATGTGACTAAACTGACACGTTAGTCATGAATGGTCTCTGCATAACAATTAATTACTTAATTACTCACTCATTTCACAATTTTATTATTACTAACCACCAACAAACTTGGAATGTTCTAGTTTTTTTTTTTTTAAATTGAAATTCTGGTCACCCTATTCATGTATGTATTCACATTAGCCTGCTAGTTAATTGCTAGTAGCGTTACAATTCGGCTAAAAACAGGTTAATAAAAATAATATTTTGGTAAATAATTTAGTCTCACTAGCCCTTTTGGGTCTGTAGCCTATGTAGCTTAACTTGAAATGCCACACTGGTCTTTTTGTTTGGCCTATAAAGTTAAATATAATGTAAAAAAAAAAAAATGAATTAAAGCTAGCGATCAAATAGAAAGCTAGCTAACCCCTGTTGCTAACCATGACACTAAAACACAAGATTAACTTTTTTTTCTCTATATTTTTAAAGCAGTGGATGCATTGTTAGCCGGAGATGTTAACCGTGAGAAATGTAGCTCAGAAATGTAAGAACGCATTTGTGAAATTTAAAAACAAACTAAAAAAAAGCAGCTATCCCAGCATTTTAGGCAGCTTTCTTGTAGTTTTTACTTTTTAGATGCTTTTTTTTTTTTTTTTTTTTTTTTTTTTTTTTTTAGAAACTGATTTGTTTTTGCGAAGTGAATTAATTTCGGATCACAATCACGCCACAAAACTAGCTAGCATACAGATACCAATGAGAACAAGACTTAAGCACTTGCAATGTATTATAATTCTGTATTTATTCTTTAAAACGTTTAAGTTATAAACCACTAATCATTAGGACAACAGTCAAGTGGTTGATGGCATGCTGTGCTAACTTTCAAAATGACCAAAATTTTTTTAAATGATGTTAAAAATGTTAAATTAACAAAAAGCAGTATTATTAAGTAATTGAAATGTTTATAATTTAACAGAAAATCAGTCATCATTGTGGTATTTCCCATGGTCCACTATTCTTACATTGTCTGTGTTTGACACTTAAAGGGCCCGTATAGATGCATCAAGAATTTCGGACTTCCGGTCATTGCGCAATGCATACTGGAAAGGATTTTCCGAAAGTGGGATGTGTCTATTGACAAAAGCAGTCTTTTCTAGTCTTTTGAACCATATCGCTTTTGTTTCGGGTTCTGATATTGTCATATTTTAGTTTTGGGATTCAGACATCGTAATTGTGTGGTTGTTGGATGTCCTAACAGCGGAAAACGGTTCGAGAAATTAGTTTGCGAACTCCATAACTGCAAAAGGGAATCAGATGTGTGTGACTGCAAACCTCCGTTCAAACTGTTTCCCTTCCCAACGGAATTAAAAAATAGTGAAAGGCGAAGGTGATGGGTAGTATTGATCCACAGGAGGGGTGAAAAAGGAAACCTTTGACTGCCTAAATCATCCCAAATTTGCAGAGAACATTTTGTATGTGGAGCGCCATAAAAGCAAAATCCCGATAACTCGCTCCACCTTAGTTAAGAATTTAAAAAGTCAACGCCAAAGCGAAAGGCACCAACTGTTCACCAAGAAACACGTTTCACTGCAAAGAGACCAAGATGTGATGTTGCTGTAAAGCCACAAGAACAAGAAAGTGTGAGCACAGTCTGTTTGTCTTCTGTACCTCTCACTTAACAAACAGGATCCCGCTTTGATGGCGCTCTACATACAAAGTGGTCGCTGCAAACTCGAGATGATTTCTTAGGCAGTCAAAGGTTTCCTTTTTGGTTCTTCCTGTGGATCAATACTGCCCATCACCTTCACCTTTCACTATTTTTCAATTGCGTTGGGAAGGGAAACAGTTTGAATAGAGGTTTGCAGTCACACACATCTGATTCCCTTTTGCATTTATGGAGTTTGCAAACAAATTTCTCAAGCCGTTTTCCACTGTTAAGATCCAACAGCCACACAATTACGATGTCCGAATCCCAAAACTAAAATATGACAATATCAGAACCAGAAACAAAAGTGATATGGTTCAAAAGACTTGAAAAGATCGGGTTTGTCAATAGATGCATCCCACTGGGAAAACAAACATGGCGGTTTGATGCTCACTTTTTCGGAAAATCCTTCCCAGTATGCATTGCGTAATGACCGGAAGTCCGAGATTCTTGATGCGTCTATTGAGCTATTTTCAGATTTGTTCTAATGTTTCCTCATCACAAACAGACCTGGAGTTGTGTTTTGTTTCATTCACACATTTTTGACACACACATCCAGCATATTTAGGCTGTTTAGGTTCTTTCCTCAAACAGAAAACACTCTGTTGCACTTTGTGATGTGATGTGTTAGGACAAAAAGAGCTCCACTGTGCTTTTGAATTCCATACACCTTCACTAGAATCATAAAAAAAAGTAAAAGCAGCTCTGTTAACTTGAAAACTACCACTGCATGACATCACAAAGTGGGACAGAGCATTTTGAGCTTTGAAGATGTGGACAGACTAATTAAATCCAAATCTACTTTATCTCTATAGCATATTTTACACACAAAACAGTTTCCAAAGGGCTGCACAGAGATCAATAAAGTGAAGACAACAAAAAGGTAAATTGCTAAAAATTTTATAAAAAAAACATAAAATGAGATAACAGCAAAACCATAAAATCATAAAATAACAATAAATATTTAAAATTAATAATAAAGGATTACTAAAACATGTGTGATTGAAACAAAACACAACTCCAGGTCTGTTTTTGATGAGGTAACAACATCATAACATGGTTTAAATCTCACAAGAATCAATTTAATAAAAGATAGGACCTTTAATATAAGATCTTGATAATTTATAACCCAATTATATATTCAAAAAAATATGAATAACTTAAAAAATAGTCTTTAAGAATTTAATGAATAATTACTTGTTACTTTTAATTATTGATACAAATTTTGGAACACACCCAGTTTTATTTATAAGTATATTTATGATTTAAAACAATTATAATTAACGTTAAATAAGGAGACACTGTTAATTATGGTCAGTCCTTCCATTACATTGCGTTCGAGTTCTCATTAGTCTATTAAACTTTTTATTTAACACTACAGAAAATTCTCTACGTGAGTTAAAATGACTTGAATTCAGAATTTGCATCGTGGCCTGGGTAGTTTCTCTGGCTGTCCTAACATAACGAAAAGAAAAGTGGCTGCCAATCTGTGCCAAAAGATCCTCCAGTCACCTATATAAGAAGTGAGTGAAGAAGTGTTTTGCCCAAGGACACAACTACAGTGATCTATGCAAAAAAATAAATCTAAAATTCTACACATTTATTCAAACCACAATATTTTATACGATCATTTTATTTTGAAACTGACAATTTGTAGATACAATTTTACACTTTTGAGAACGAATTTATTTTGGTTAGACACAGCGAAGTAATGAAATGTTACGTTGTCAGTTTTGGGTATTTGATACTTTGCGTCTGTGGCGTCACGCTGGGGGTGTTCTACATTAGCGGAATGTTCACCAGTTCCCATGGAGACACAGCGCACACTTTACAAAAACAAATAAGTTTTAAGATCGTCTAAAAACAAAAAACAGAATGGATTTAAACCACACATATTCAGGTTCTTTATGGTCAGATTGTGTTCAGACAAAGCTCAGATTAAAGTCTAACAAGTCTAATGTCCACACTAGTATGTATTCGAGTCGTTTTCATTGTGGATGTAATGTTTGTCGAAACTAATCCGACTGAAAACGGCTCCAGAGATGGAACGATCTGGTGCAACTCCCACGAATTCATTCATGGATCTGACCCGGCACTGTGTGGACGCCTGAAGTAATTCACTGCCAAAACGCTAAGAGCCTAGAATATATGTCCATTCATATACCGTATTTTCCGGGTTATTAGACGTGCTCTTAAGCCTCCAACCCCATCAAAAAACAACTGCGCGCCCCACAATCCAGAGCGCCCTATACACGAATCCACTCGCAACTGCGCAGCGAAAAATACCCATAGCCACACTCATCACTCCACGCCGACGAGGAACAGAACGGAGGAACGAACCGAAAAAGCGAGTGCAATGTGCCACTTCTAGCCACAACTGAACAACTGAGTCACTGCGAACACGCCGACAATCCAGCGGTCCCAGACAGCACCCTCCCTACACGCCACAACTGAACAAAACCCAGAGTCACCGTGAACGCCACAAACAAAGTCCAACTGACCCATCCAACTGTTGTGTTTCGTTTAAAGTCAGGTGCGGTTTATTTGTGAAAAAAGTTTGAAAATAGACCATTCTATGACAGTGTGCCTTATAATCCAGAGCGCCTAATAGATAAAATAAAATAAAGATAAAATACTGTCTGTGTGTACGACCTGCAGACGTATAATCTCCGAAAAGTTTCACATGAACCGTCTCCAATGTGATAGAAACACAGAACAGACTCACCATCAGCAGAACACCCCTCTGTCACAGAAAGAACACTCATATTCCACTGAGTCGTGTCCTTTAGTCCGACAGAATCTGAACTGCATCAGCGCACAATAGTGAGCTGTTTTTTTGAGCTCTTAGTTTTTTGCAAATTAGCCATGCGGTTTTAAGTTTCGTGTCTGTAAAACGTAAACAAATCTGCTCAAAGCTGCGTGGATAGAGAAGGAAGAACGACGTGTGTGGACGCAGGTCGTTTCCGATACTGTGATTTGTTTCAGACTACGTTTACACTGAAACGAATCACCGTATCGGAAAATATCTGTGTAAACGCAACCTCAGACAGAGCAGTGCCTACCGTTAGCATCAGAACGCAAAGTATGAATAGAAATAATTTATTTTTCAACCACTCATTCGACTTGGAAGCGTTTTATGTACCTTAAAACTAGTGATTAGCCCTAAAAACTCCTGTTGTAGAATTTCCAAAAAAGCCTAGTGCGGAACATTTTAGCCAAAGCGGTAACATCACCACGGAAACCAGCGGGAACCTTTTAATATTCTGAATTCAAATGTCATTTCAACTCTCTAGCTACATTTTCGCATCGATATCCGACCCTCCGCATCGGAATCCCGGGCCGCAGACGGTAGAGGAGTGAATGTAGACCAGTGATTGTGTTGTGTTTGTGTTCAGAAAAAAAAATCAGTAAAAAGCATTATTCTAAACCTTTTTCCAGGCCTTAAAGATTTCTGTGTTCTCTTTTGATTGTAACCAGTTTTTTTAGGCTTTCCGACCGTTCGGCAACACTACAGCACAGCAACGTTTTGTAAGAATTCATTGTATTCAGGGATGGGCGGGACCAACATACATTTTCAACTTTGTTCAGTTATTTTTCAAGGTACTTTTTGTCGTTAATTGCCCACTTTTCTCTTGCTGCAAAAAATAATGTCTGAATGAGTTAAAAAAAAAAAATAAAAAATCTGAATTTTTGTGTGAATATTTGGAGTAAAATTTCAAGATAATCAATGCAATGGCTGAAAAAAAAAAGTCAAATAATATAAAATAAGCGGAAGTGTCATGCCTATTTTTTCAAACTTAAAAAAAAAAAATATATATATATATATATATAAAATGTATGTGTAAAAGTATTTTTAATAATTTCTCCACTGGTTTTATTCAAACGTGGGTAAAATGGTCAGCAGAGGGCAGTAGAGTGCACATCAGCTATTAGACATTTAGTGTTTTTTCACCTAATCACGAAATTTCACATTTTTATTTTTCGGGGGGAGATACATAAATAAAAGAAATTCACACTAATAACGTATGATTTTAAGTCATTAACTCATTCTGCACATTTATTTTTTGCAGCGCGCTTGCATCCTACCTCCTTAACACAATCCTCGCCCTTTCTCTTCTTTTTGTTTAATTTTTTTCCGTATTTCTTCAGATTTGTCTTTCAATCAGGCACTATTCTGTTCAGTGATTTTCGTTGCACATTAGAATAACATTACTTTTAAAGCGCAATGATTGTATGCTGCTCGATCCGCTAAAGCTATTACAAAGTATTTTTTCCTATTTTTTATGAATGGAAAAATATTTTTGCTAAGTGTAAACATGCCTGATGATGCATAACATTCTGGAAAAAAAAAATAGAGAAGTATATGTATTTTTAAATGTTGCTGTTTTTTGATTTGTTAAACTGTGTAGCAGATAAAAAATTCTCATTGACAAATATAAAAATGGTTTCTTTTTTTTGTCTACACATATTTGTCTACATAACAAATAAATGATTCAGAAAAAGTTTTTAAAAATTTCTAAAACTATGGACAATGCCACTGAAAAAAATAATTGTAAATGCTCAAAATTTAAACCGATCTGAGTAAATTTTTTGATGTAGCAGGGCTGGAAATGTAAGAAAAAACACAGATGCACTTGTCATTTAAAGCCACATTACTTAAAAAAAATAAGTAGAAAAGCATGTTTTTGTTTTTCATTTTGGTTTCTTACTGTGAGTGGGCTTGCATCTCCACAAACCTGACTCTTATTTCGCATGGAGGAGAGCCTTCTACGACTTAGAAATAGAAGTATTGTTCCTTTGGCTGTGCCAGGGGTGTCAAACTCATTTTGATCCGAGGGTCGTATCCAACTGACTTTGATCCCAAAGGGGACGGATCAGAAAACTCATGGCATATATACCGAAAAAATAGTAATAAGTTCAAATATTTGTGCAGAGAAACACAAATCTATTACAGAAATCTTTTTTAATTGATAAACTCTTTCTTTTACAAAATATTATAATATTATGAACAACCTGAAACTTTAAGAAAAATGCAATTTCAACACGTTTTAACATTAACTTGTATGCAATTCATAGAATTTAGTCACCCTTTCTTTTTGCTCCTGAAACTTTCTTTTAGTCTGCACAAGTGTATCAATATCGGGCACCGTGTCCTGAGTAACTGCTGTCTTCAGAATGTCATTCAGGTGTTTGTGTGTTGTGTTCAGCTTTGAGCGCAGCTTTGTTTTATTAATGTTCATTACTGAGAATACCTGCTCACAAAGGTAGGTGGTAACTGTAAATCTATTATTTCTAGTTGCATGTCTGCGTGTACATCAGAGGTTTTGACTATGAATGGTGTGCGAAAAATTGCAAATTCTGTCTTCAGGTTTTAAAATCTAATAAAAATATTTTAGTAGAAAATCAGCTGAGGGCCAGATTAAAGGTCTTGGAGGGTTGGATCCAGCCCCCAGGCTGTATGTTTGACACCCCTGGGCTATACTAACTGACAGAATGAGATTTGAGTTGTGTTGAGTTGCCAGATCCTACCCCAAAGTTTTCTCTGATACAAGATTTTATGACATCCCAGGTTAAAGTTTCTGTACTGTATTGTTTTAAAAAAAATCTATTGTGAAGATTTTAAAAAAAGTTTGCAGTGGTCCAAAATTCTTCCTTACTTACCTTATTCATTCTGAGCATTGTCATTATTCACGCTGATGAGTTTCTAAGCATATTTTACAACTCTCACCAGCCAGATTGGAGTTTTGCCGTTCAGTAAAAGCTTGGGTGACCGGATTTTTACAATTCAAAACTTGCGACACACTCGGGTTGAGATGGTTGATGTCACAGTTAGTAACTTGGACTTGAGTCAGACTTGAGTCAGTATTTTTAGGACTTGAGACTTGACAAAATGGACCAAGACTTGGGACTCGACTTGGACTTGAAGGTCAGTGACTTTGGACTTGACTTGGACTTCAGGCCTGTGACTTGAAAAGAGTTGAAGCACTTTTAAATCTGAATTCTTTCTATTCTGACTATAATGATTCACACTAAGATCTTGTCAAAACATTTAAAAAGGAAAAAATTACGTCTCTACAACTTTTATAAACTTCATAAATACTCATATATAAATATTGCATGAGTTTTTAAGTACAATTTAGTTTAAAAATCATGTCAATTGTAAAACTGTAAGCTATATTTGGTACGTTGGTGTCAAGACTTGAAATGACTTGAAGCTCAAAGCAAACGACTTAGACTTGACTTGGACTTGCCTGTATTTGACTTGGGACTTGACTCGGACTTGAGGCCTGTGGCTTGAGAAGCACTTTTTAAATCTGAATTCTTTCTTTTCTGACCGTAATGATTCACACGAAGATCTTGTCAAAAATTTAAAAAGGAAACATTTACATTTCTACAACTCTTATATACTTTATAAATACTCATGTATAAATACTCCATGACTTTTTAAGTACAGTTTAGTTTAAAAATCATGTAAATTGTAAAAATCTAAGCTATATTTGGTAGTTTGGTGTAAAGACTTGAAATGACTTGGACTTGGACTTATGGGCCAGTGACTCGAGACTCGACTTGGGACTTGACTCGGACTTGAGGTCAAAGACTTGAGGCTTGCAAAACAACGACTTGGTCCCACCTTGTTGATGTAAATAAAACTGTGAAAAGAGCACGCAAGAGTGGGTAAGACATTTCTTAAAAATAGAGACAACTTGGGACATTTAAGGATGCAAAAAACCCAAGGCAATAAAATGCCTTTATTAATTTACGGCATGTCTTAATGGACAACTTACAAAGTCCCGATGCGTTTCAAACTACGGCTTTCCTCTTTTTTTTTTTTTTTTTTTCATCTTTAAACTGACTTCCCTTCCCAAAGAGCATCACTGAGGTCTCTCTATTGTGTATTATCCTCTGGAGGTCCAGGAATCACTTCTTTTGAAACGTTTTTTTTTTATACAACTGGGCCATTTCTTGTATAAAACTGGAACAAATCAGTGGTTTTGTATAAATCTGCTGGGACAGGGGACACAGGACTCAAAACTGGGACTGTCCCGGGTAAACAGGGACATCTGGTCACCCTAGTAAAAACAAAATTAGAAGTAGAAGGCGCGGATTTGTTTTGACATCCAGAGTTGCTTATACAACACATTTACTGGGGCAAGACGCATTTTGCTCAAATACATGAGAAAAAATAAGATACAGGCCCTTGAAGTGGTGATTGTGACCATTATTATTACCTTTTTAAATATGGAAGACCCCTCCTTTCAGATATTTAAGTGTTTTTGTCAGAAGTAGAAGTAATAGTATAAGATGAGAAATGCGTTCCTCATAATTTATTACAAAACGTGTTGAAAATTCCACACCATACTTATATATACAAAGGCCTATTTACACAAGTGAAATGCACATATACAGCAGATTTCCACAGCAAAAAACAAAAACAAAATTTCACTTATTGGTAATTAGTTAAAAATTTGACATTCTTCAAATTCACAATCAGCCACAGAGCTCCACGCATGAAGTCCCAAATGTTCGTAAAACACCGCACGACATTCAGAATAAATAAGTTAAAGGAATCACTTCAAATGGTCAAAATGTAAACAATGAAGTTCAAGATACAAAACTACAATCCGTTCTTTGTTTGAAAATTTGTTACGAAATTTTTAGTGCGCTTTGTGGAATTTAAAAGTCTCGCGTTAGGTCTTTTTTGGGACACCGCCGCTTTGGGTTTTCGTAAAGGTGCGCTGTGTAACGTTTCCGGTGGTGAGTCAAGAGTTACGGGTCGGATCTTTGGAGAGGCGAGTCTGCTCAAAGTAAGAATGCGTGTTATTCAGTCAAGGTACTTTATTTTGGCAATGAAACACCTATAATTTGCAAGTTTGTGTAACGTTCCTGACACCACTCCAGAAAAGTTCCATAATGCACCTTTAATATTAAAATGGAAAATAAATTAAACTAAAAATATTATGATTACATGGTTGAAACTATTTTTAAAAGCAGTACATTTGGTATAATATCTAACCTTCAAGCATTTTGGTATAGTTAGACTGTTCTTTTATACATTCTTAATTTTGGCCCTCCAGTGACTCCGTACTTGTAGTGCTTCTTGAAACAGTAAAAACATGGGTCTAAACATTCCACTAAGTTACATCCAGTCTTTAGTAATGTACATTGAATCGTGTCAAAATCCAGCGCGTGGAGAAAGAGGCGTCTCCGGGGCATCTGAGCAATTTCGTCGTAGAGTTACGGCGCCCCCTTCTGATGCCATTTCAGGATCAAAACGTTCGAGAAAACTTCCAGGTGTTGAAAAGTGGAGCTCAACAGTGCTAGTCCTCCTTTAATCTCAAATGTAAAGAGAATTGTTTCCATGGACTTACGCAAAATAAAACTTTTTTTTAACTTAAGGTTTGTTCTGAAAGACTGTCATTTTCTAGTATCAGAATTTTGCCCGAAATCCAGAACACACACTCCTTCAATATTTTACGAAGATATATTTATGATCACTTGGCATCTCCTGATTTTCACGTGGGCATGATTGACAGGTGGATAAGCCAATCAGGGATACACAAGACAAATACGGCTGCTTACGTGAAAACAAGAAAGGAAAAAAAATCACAGGGGACTGAAAATTGTCACAGAGTTCTGCAGAATCAATAAGCGACATAATTGTGCTTGTGTCTATTATACAGTTATGACACCAGTGGAACATTGTTATAATTTGAACATTTTAAATCGCAATATTAATCAAACAAACGAGTCCACCGACTTAGAAAACGGAGGTGACCAATGGGAGCTGATGTCGGCACCTCCGATGGATAGCTGCACGTCACGCTACTGGCAAAATGGCGTCTTGAACATAAGCGATTAAAGATTGCTCAGACAAGCACGAATCACTCCAAATACAACTTGGGATGAGAATATGGTGAGGACTATAACACAGTTAAAAGCTCTAGTAAGTCAATTTTGCATAATAGGTCTGCTTTAACATTTTTGTAATATCACCAAATTTCACAAATGTAAAAAAAAGAAGAAAAAAAAGTTGTAAAAATAAATAAATAAAAGCTGACTGATTTGGTAGGACTCACCGGAGTAGGTTGAGCTATAAACAGTAGGTAGAATTAAGGACGGTTAAAAGCTTCAAAGCCAAAAAGAACTTTGCAGTGCGCTTATAAGCTGCCTCCTTTATACAATCCTCACCCTTTCTCTTTTTGGAAAAACAAATACTGATCTAAATCTAGACCTTCTTGACTTGTTTGAAGACTAGAATAAGTCAAGATTCATCTAACGGACTTGGTTCATTTTCCTTTCTTGCAGTGTAAAGTCAGGTGTACTGTCTTGTCCTTGTTGCTGCGGTTTGACCCAACCTGTGAGGAGCAGTGGACCGTCGAGGTGCCGCGCCCACCGACTCATCAGGTGTTGAACTGGTGAAGCTCCGGACTGCTTTAGTTGGAGGACTGGATCTATTGTGCATGTGTTGTGTTGATGTGGGAGCTGGAGCAAAGTCACACAGACACAGGGAGAACATGCAAACTCTCCACAGAAGCCCCACCCTGTCCAGACACTGTGAGAGGTTTGATTGTGCCCCGCTGTGGTGTTCCCTGTGCTCACTGATGACAGCTCTCTACAGTAGCCTGCGCTAGTCTCCCATCGGTGTAGGTGTCCCACGGGTGCACGGGTCCCACGGGTGCTCGTATATCATGGGCGCTGGGGTTCCATGGGTGCTGCTGTCCCATGGGTGCTGTCAGCAGGAGGACGCGCTGATCTTCTCCGACACCTCGGGGTCCGACTTGGCCACGAGGAAACGCAGCCGCCCCCCTCCCAGACGGATCAGGTCTACGGCACTGCGCACAGGGAGAGGGACCATTTAACCAGGAACATGCATATTATTTAATTTTTCTTTTTTCCAGTTACAAAATACTTTTATTTGTCCACAAATCTCCAAACGTCAGCGCTCCTAAGTATTTGACGGACCTGCTAAATCAAATTTCAAACTCAATTTCAATATTAAGGAATCAACTTTGGACAATGGAATGTGATTTTCAGCATTAAATCACAGCACTTTCTCTTATAGTACACATTGAGTCTATTTCTTTGAATCTAAATATTAGTATCCTGACAATACTGGTTATTACATCTGAGGACAGTAGAGACAGACACCACTGTAACCAAAGTTTGTGACTTGGTGCTGTTCACTTGGCCATATGTCTCATGTTTTTGAATGAATAGGCTTTAGAATTGTTAGGAGTTTAGACTTAGACAAACTTTACTGATCCCACAAGGGAAATGATTTGGACACAGTAGCTCACACAACACAACATAATATAATAACAAAGAGTAAAAATATAAATGGTAATAATAAATAGGGCTGGGTATGATTAAGAAGTTGCCGATATGATACATACCTTGATACAGTGAGCTTACAATTCGATATGATATATTTCAAATCGATTTGACTTCAATAAAAAATAAAGGCTAACTCATGGCTGTGATTCTAAAAGTCTTTGTTAAGTCACATCCTGTAAAATTTACTATGAAACACAAACATTTTAATCATCAAAACAGTGAAAATGTCAAATGTGTTGCATAAACGAGTTTCCCTCCTCTAAAGCAGGGGTGTCAAACTCAAATTCACAGAGGTCCAAAATTAAAAACTGGGACTAAGTCGTGGGCCAAACTAAATATTTATTGAAAATTTTCAACAACATCTGCATGTTTTCTCTTCTTTGGAGAAATGTAATGTTGAACCTTTTATTTATTATTATTATTATTTTTTTTATTAAAATAAACATTTAATAATAGTTTTGCTTAAACATTGAATCCAGAACAAGCATAATGTAAAATAATAATACAATTTTAAATAAATAATGTCTGTATAGACTATCTGTAGCCAGCAGGCAGTTCTAATACATATTTGATATGATCTTGTGGGCCAAATATAATTATATAGCGGGCCAAATCGATATCAATACTGTATCATCACATTAAACGAAACGATATCTTGATATTTAGAAATTTTTGCACACCCCTAATAATAAATATTAAATAAGTAGTAAAAAAATAACAAGAGGCAGGTGTGAAATAAGTCATAATTATATAAATGTATATGGACAAGTCAAAATAAAATTGAAAAATAAGTAATAAAAAATAAAATCTCAGCTATATACAAGAAGTCGTAGGAAGCCAGTGCAACAATGATATGATGCCTGACAGTACATAGGGTTATCCGTTATCCGAGTGAAAGCTGTATTTGATTTGACCATGTATCTGCAGACCTAGATAAGGATGGATGGATTATTAAATGTCCTATAAAATGGATTCTTGTGAGCTTTTAGCCACGTTAAAATGTTGTTTCCTCATCACAAACAGACCTGGAGTTGTATTTTCTTTCATTCACACATGTTTAACACACAAACCCTGCAGATTTAGGCTGTGTTCTTTTCTCAAACTGAAAACGCTGATGAAGACAGACTAATCATAAAGATTTACTCAAACATGTGTGAATGAAACAAAACACAACTCCAGGTCTGTTTTGGATGAGGCAATGACATTCTAACATGGCTTAAAGCAGCAACAGCAATACAGTACCTCTGGTAGTCTGCTCCGATGAGGCTGGTGCCGTTCACAGCCAGGATCCTGTCCCCGATCCTCAGGCGTCCGTCAGAGGCTGCGGGTCCGTCTGGGATCAGGGTGCGGATGTAGATGCCTGGAGCATTCAGAGGAGTGTGCTGCAGGGGACAGAGCCAGAGTCAGAAAAAAACTATGTATTCAGTCATGTACTCAACAATGTAGTCCACAGTAAATCCCGTGCTGGCTCAAATAATGTGCTAGGTCCTCTGTCTCCTTGTGTGCACACCTCCGCCAGAAATCTTGAGGTAATTTTTGACTGTTCTTTTGAGATGATAGGCAAATCAATTCTGTAATTAAAGCTAGTTTCTACTAGCTCAGAATATTAAATAAAGTAAAGGCTTACCTTCCAGCAAATTACTTAAAATGAGTTGTTTAGTTCTTGTTTATCCCTGATGTAGTCCTTCCTTATAGTCCTGGTTTAGTCCTTGTTTAGTCCTGGTTTAGTCCTGGTTTAGTCCTTGTTTAGTCCTGGTTTAGTACTTGTTTAGTCCTGGTTTAGTACTTGTTTAGTCCTGGTTTAGTCCTGGTTTAGTACTTGTTTAGTCCTGGTTTAGTACTTGTTTGGTCCTGGTTTAGTACTTGTTTAGTCCTGGTTTAGTCCTGGTTTAGTACTTGTTTAGTCCTGGTTTAGTACTTGTTTAGTCCTGGTTTAGTCCTTGTTTAATCCTGGTTTGGGCCTGGTTTAGTCCTAGTTTAGTCCTTGTTTAGTCCTGGTTTAGTCCTTGTTTACTCCTTGTTTAGTCCTAGCTTGGTCCTGGTTTAGTCCTTGTTTAGTACTGGTTTAGTCCTTGTTTACTTGTTTAGTCCTGGTTTAGTCCTTGTTTAATCCTGGTTTGGGCCTGGTTTAGTCCTTGTTTAGTCCTGGTTTAGTCCTTGTTTACTCCTTGTTTAGTCCTAGCTTGGTCCTGGTTTAGTCCTGATTTAGTCCTGGTTTACTCCTTGTTTACTCCTGATTTATTCCTGGTTTAGTCCTTGTTTACTCCTTGTTTAGTCCTAGTTTGGTCCTGGTTTAGTCCTGATTTAGTCCTGGTTTACTCCTTGTTTACTCCTGATTTATTCCTGGTTTAGTCCTTGTTTACTCCTTGTTTAGTCCTAGTTTGGTCCTTGCTTGGTCCTTGCTCAGTTTAACCCTTCCCATCACACCACCCCCCGTTAGTTTGACTCACCAGTCCGTCGATGAGTCCCATGCCGAGCCCGTACGGTCCCTTGTCCAGCTCCACTACAAACACCACACACAGGTCATCAGGGACAGGGGACGCCCCGCACGAGGACACGGGGAAGGGGAAGTCTGCAGAGGACACACCACAGCACACGCTAGGGGACAGCGGGGACACACGGGGGACAGGGGTAGTACTGGGGGACGGCCTACAAGGGGCATGCTCACTACACCACAGTGCACTACAGGAGGAGATGGAGCTATGGACTATGGAAGAACACACGTATTCATGCTAAAGGTGTTACATATGCAAGTGTAAGGGCACACTGAAGTAAATCTTCTACAGGAAAGTGACAAAAGAACTTAAAGAGACGCAGTGTAAGCTTTGAATAGACTCTCACATTCTACATTGACTCTTACACCATGTGGCTTTAAAAAGGAAAATTCTCCTTCATGTAAAGTTCAAACACAGAATGCTGGGCTTACACTGTGGTTTTGTACGGATTTAAAGACATTCTAACTCACACTGTGCCATACGAGGTGAGCCCGAGGTCACAAGAAGGGTGAGGGGTGTGCTCTGTGCGGAGTCATGCTGTGATGTCTGACCCTAGCCAGGCTGGTGCCACCTAGTGCCTCCACTCAATTCATTTCTCTCCAGCGACTAGGACAGGAATCAAAATACACTAGATGGGTCGTAAAAACCCTGGAAGTGTGAGTTCAGGTACCAGCCAATCATTGGAGAGACACATATTTTGTGTTGTCAACGATTCCTGAGATCGAAAATTTAAAGCCAGAATAAAGACAATGTTTGGTGACTTTTATCAAGAGGAAAGACGTTATTGTCCTTCTTCCTACGGGATTTGGGAAAAGCTTAATACAACAGGTAGCCCCGATTGTGGTGCATTACATACATCACAAATAGCAGTGATTGGTTAAATGATAAAAAGTACCCACCTACCGTCGAGCGAACAAATTCTAACACTGCGAGGTCAGACGGTTTCTACGAAGTGAAACCAGTTGATGAATCAGGCTAGTCTAACTCTACCACTCACCACAAATCTCAAACATGTCTGATATCCCTGCTATCCCCCCTAACCTGCGCCTCATGAGCAGGTGATCACAGCTCGTAACCCCCTGAACACTGCACCACACAGAGGCACAGAGCAGCACTAATTCTGCCCAATTTTAAAATTATTAATTTTAAAATTATTAATTTTAAAATAAGAATTTTAAACCAATTTTTTTTTAATTGTCTAAAATTCTTCACAGTAATTGCACAGTGTACGTCCAGCTTAGTTTTGAAAATAAAACATTTTGAACTGACAGATTAGAGAACAATCATCATGGTTCAAAGTCCACTTAAGGGCAGACCCACATGTAGAGCCCATGTGCCTGATGTCTTGTGCAGTGAGCTTACCTTCCAGCCCATTGGGGATGAGCCCGTTAGCCTTCTTGCAGTCGCTCCTGGGGGGGCATCCGTTGGGCTGCAGGCTGTGACCCTTGTTTGGCCCCGGGGCCCCTCCCTCGGGGTACAGGGGGGTGTGAGGGGGGTGAGGAGGCAGGACAGCTCTGCGTTGGGGGCTTTGGGCTGGTGCAGGGTCCCGTTCCTCCTCAGACTGTGGGTGTGGTGGGACACTCTGCGCTCCTCTGAGGGATCCGCACTGCCGTCATCGCACTGACCTCCGGAGCGAGGGCTGCTGTGAGCGGGTGCCAACTCCCTCTGCACACGCACACATATATACAGTGTAAAGGTTAGGGTACACTTTATTGTTCACTGCATTTGACACACCCTTCATTGTCAGGGTACAGTGCAACAACTGGGGACTCATCTCAACATCTCCAGCTCAGGAGTTCTTAGCTGGAAGATGAACCTAATGTTTATGCTTTAGCTTGACCATGGGAATCACAATGAGGGACCCTGTTGCTGTGAGGTGAGTGTGCTTGCCTCACCTGCTCTGGGAGTTGTTAGTGAATGTATATGTGTACATGTGAGGATGCAGTAAAACGGGGATTATGGTCTCGTCAGCCGTGCCCACTAATGAGACAGCCTCACCACTAATCAGATTAACCTGCTTTATCCATGTCTCGCTTTGGCTGTGTGTTCATATGCGTGTGTGTGTCCTGGCTGGAGTCGAGGTTTTCGTTCTTCATTTATGGGATTATGGGGAACTCCTCCACACACGGACCACATTACACTTCGTTTACATGTACATGGAAATCCAAACGTGCTAAATGGCCAAAACCTGTCCGACCACTCTTATCCAAGCTACAGAAGAACTGAAAAAGAACTGAGTAAATGTGCGAAAGGGGCAGCTGTAATTACTAATACAAACTACTATCACACATACAACCACACTTTTGGCAGACATAAAAGTGATTTTCAGAAATTCTAGTTAGTAGACGTTAGTAACTCTCCACTCCACGAATAAACTCACTGAACTTCGGGTAGTTTTCACTTTAACAAAACGGATCAAAGGAAAGAAACAGTGAGAGTTAGTCCGCGGTGAAGGGGTAGTTTTTCATCTCTGCTGATATAAATCAAGCGAGTAAATGTCCAAACGCAGGTCTAAAATTTGCCTGTTTCTTACCTCATGCGGTTGAATGTCTCAACTAATCTGCTACTAGTGCCATTGAAGTGATCTGTGAAAATGCATGTAAACCCAAAAACTATGACTTAGATGTTGTGGTTTAAGATCCCAAGAAGAATGTATCTGGAGAAGCTGGAAGTTAATCAGATCCCTGTTGCATGTAACAGAGTAGTCTGATTTACATTAAGAGTAGGAGAGTTGTTCAACTGCACAGGGTAAGAAATAGCCAGGCAAATATTAGACATGTGTTTGGACGTTTTCTCACTCATTTTAGATCGGCAGTGATAACAAACTATGGCCCCTCCACTGGCTCACCCTGTTTCAGTCTTTTGGTCCGCTATGTTAAAGTGAAAACTACCGGAGCTGAATTTGTTTATTTGTGTGGTGAAGAGCAAATAAATTGTGAGTAACAGTTTCTAGTCTGAAAATCAAATGCTCACCATAAATGTCGCTTTTATGCTCTATGCTTCCATAAGATCTATGTTTGTCAAAATGCGGTTGCATATATGATAGTGTTTTTTATTAGCAAGTGCAGCTGCAACATTGTAGTGCTAATGTTAAGATAGTGGGTTTTGAGGCAAAGATGATTTGAATTTGTTTTTTTAGCGCAATTGGATTTCCCTGTGCATGTAAACAGTGACTAAGGCTACGTTCAGACAGCAGGGCTTAACGCTCAATTCCGATTTTTTTGTGAAATCCAATGTTTTTGCGAGGTTGTTCACATTTCCAATTAAATGCGACTTGTATTCGATCCCCTGTGTGAACAGTAAACGGCCCAAAAGTGTCCCGCATGCGCACTGGAGGACACGATGATGTCAACCGCAGCGAGCGTACTCTGTGTTTACGGAAGTTGTCCAAACATGAACGCGAGCATTGAGCACCTGGAGATTTTAAAGTTCCTCTCGTACCAGAACATGAACAACTTACTTGTTTTAAGGAGGAGATTGAGAAGGAGAAGGACGAGGTTTTTTGGTCATGGCGTTTTGTGGGACAGCGGCAGCGACGTCCGTTGAAAGGAACGTGTGGATGTGGAGATGTAGTCAAGAGTGGTGAGTGGCGATGTGCTTCGCTTCAATGACACGGAGTTCATTAACAATTTTTGCCTACTTCAGCGCAGAATAGTGACGTTTGTGGCTTGCTGATAACACGTAGGTCGAATGAATGCGCTTTGGCCGTTCACACTGAAGTCGCATATCAAAAGATCGGATATGTATCGGTTTCAGGACCACATATCCAAGTGGCCTGGGTCGCATTTGAAAAAATCGGATCTGTGCTGTTCAGACTGTCATTAAAAGATACAGGTCACATAGAAGCCAAAAAATCGGATTTGGGTCACTTCAGGCTGCAGTCTGAACGCAGCCTAAGAGAACCAAACAGAGCAACTGTGCACTCTGCCTCTGACCTGTACATCGGGGGCCCAGTCGTTGGTGTTAGTGCCGTTGGACTGCGTGTGTCCAGAGGGAGCGCTGTTGTGCGTGTGCGTCTTGGTTCTCAGGCCCCACAGGTAGTGTCTTATGTACAGCAGCTGTCTGTAGATGCTGTCCTCCACACAGTCACTGTCCAGGTCCACTCTGAAGCCGGAGCTGGGCAACACGATGGGGGGATGGTTCTCGAAGCTCTCCAGGAGATCCACTGCAGACACACACGGACACATTAGGGTTTTATTATATGTCATTTCATTTTAAAAATTTAAATCTGTTTTTTTTGGTTTTTTTTTTACCATGACAACTGTTCAATTGCACAATTACCCAGTTTTGCAAGAAGAAAGCTAAGAAAGTCAGGAGTAAACCTGTTTCACCCTAACCCTAACCTTTGATTTCATGATTTTAATTAAATTAATTTGATTAATATGTCCTTTTATTTATTTACCATTTGATTTTCAGACATGTAAAATGAATAGCTGGGTTTCAAATAACATCACAACATTCTATAGGCCAATAATATTTATCACAGATGGTGTACAGCTAAAATTAATATTGTTAAATATGGATTTTTGTGGTAATACAGTGAGTTCCTGGGTGTAGTCCCGGGGTATCCAAAGTGGGGCCCGCCGGCCAAGTTTGGCCAAGGGTGTGCTGAGATTTGCAATAAGTATCTATTAATAGTATTTTGGTTCAATTTAACACTAAAAAGACAGTCAGGAGATGAAAGGGAGCCCATAGCCCTATTTTAAAATGTCTTTATTTTGTGTATTTATATATTTTTCATACATTTTTAATAAGTATCATTTCAGCAAAAAGCTACATAGTCGCTATATTTACATGGAAAGTGCCAGAAGAGGGCACAAGAGACCCACCTGGACCCAAACTGAGGATTGTAACAACAAGAAAAATGTAAAGGGCCTATATTGCGCTATTTTCTGATTTATGTTATAATGTCATGTGGTGGAACAGAGCATTTTGAGCTTTGGAGATAGACTAGTAGATAGACTGCTAAACCAGGGTTACTCAAAAATATGAATGAACCAAAGCACAACTTGGGTATGATTTTTGAGGAGATAACATGGCTTAAAACTCACAAGGATCATTTTTGTCTAATATAGGACCTTTAAAACATAAACTAAGAGCAGAATCTAGATTGTAACAAAATATGTGAAAATTGTTGAGCCATGTTCTCCGTGCTGCGTCACTCAGCTAAAATAGTGTGTTGCTTTCCTCACAGGACTCCCATTATCTGGGGACACCCTCACATGACGTCAGTGACACCTAAAACAGAGCACTCATGTCCTACTTCACACCTCTGATAGTTTCTCCTCTACTCCGCTCCCGTGCCTCGTTCTGCACTTACCTGGGCACCACATGTGTTATTCATGAAACTGTCAGGTGCACTAAGGGTTGTCCTAGACTCATTCAGGAGGTGCACATGGCCTCATATCCAATACACGACTTTAGAGGCTTTCAGGGTGATAAAAAGCAGGATGGTTGCTAATGTAATTAACAATTTGGTCTAAAAGAAAAATCTATATTTTGAATGGTTGAAAATCCTCCAAATGGTGCCTATAAAAATCAGCTGGATTCTGATGAGCATGATAAGCTCATTTAAGCACATTACAAAATGCTGGACAGGGCAATTCTATTATCCAATCCTGCTGTGACAAATTAGTCACACCCCTTTTCCAATTCACTGAATTTAAAGTGGGATCATTATGTTATAATTTGGACATCTTAAATCACAGAATTAATCTAAAACAACTTAATACAAGAAACACGTAAGCTGACTTCTGCATTAGAAAATTGTGGTGCCCAATGGGAGCTGACGTCTCCATAAATGTCATCACAACAAAGAGCCGCCAAAGTTGTTGGCACCTCCTATGGATAGCTGTAGATAACACAGGTTTTTTTTTCCTTTGTACCAAAATGACAATGTAATGCTGCAGAATTCTACATATATCACCAAGTGGAGAACAAAGTACAGAGCAGTAGGCGTATTTTGGTAATGGTGAAAAAAGGGTATGATTGCCAAAACGGTGTCTTTAAAGATTGCTCAAACATGCACCTATCACTCCAGATACAACTTTGAGTGAGGAAATTGTGAGAAGAAACAACTATAATTTGGTTAAACGCTCTAGATTTTGTATAGTAGGTGTGCTCTCTCTTCTCTTATTGAGTTATAGAGGACCCTCTGCTTCCAGTGATGTCTGCTGTAGTGTTTCTCTGTTGATATATCCCTGTGTTTTTTGAATGTTGGTACCACATATTTTGTGCTTTTTATTATCTTGTAATATGTGAGCTAGTGCATCCATGAGCTTTCCCTTGTGGCTCCATACAGTTAGTCAAAGCCTAAGTGTGTCACCTGTCCTGTAGATGTAGGCCTCGTCCTCAGTGCTGGGCTGCCACAGAGGCACTGGCCCCAGCTCGGCCGTCTGCTGGTACTGGCTCAGGATGCGGTGCAGCTGGACAGGCTTCAAACTGGGGTGCTCACTGGAGAGGGCCCGCCAGCTCATCTGACACACACAAATCACATAAAAACTCACATATCATGTAGCAATTTCAGTAAAGAAACTATTGCACATGTGTATTTGTGTCATGCTTTTGTATATTTATGGAGAATGGTTGTGAGGGAGCATGGATGACGTAGACATCCAAACTCATTGCAAATCTTTTAAAATATCTGAATATTTGATCAGTAATAACAAGCCCCATAAACACCGGGCTGTTACACCCTTGATACAAATGTAAAGATCTCCTGACACTGTTGTTGTGCACCCATGTTTGTGTCAGGACCTGTACCTGTGTGAGCTGCTGGGGTGCGGTGGCTACTATGGACACAGCACTGTTGAGTTTGGTGAAGAACTTGTCAGCCAGGTGTCCCAGTTTGGAGCGACTGGCCCACTCCATGAGCATCCTCAGACAGGCCTGGATCTGCAGCACTTTGGACCTCTGGAACCAGCCACGCGCCGGGCCTATGGGGGCAACACATAAGAATCAATCTGTTTTTTATTTTACTTATTCTTGTTTGTATTGTTGGTGTACTTGCTCTCTGTAAAGCAATTTGTATTGTTTATCTGTGAAAAGCGCTTTATAAGTAAAATGTACTTACTTTTGTGACAGTTTTATTTAAGATTTTTGATAATGGTTGCCAGAGAATAATGAAAATGTTTAAGTTTAAGTTTAACATTACAATATTCATTTGCCTAGTTTATATAACTCTCCAGAGGTGATTCAAGGTTTAAGTTACATTTCATCTTATTTCGTGGTGAGAAACCATTGTAGTCATAGCTGCCCTTCAGTAGACGGGCACAAGCAAGTCTGCCAATCTGTGCCATCAGCCCCACTAATACTCATATACACCATATTCATACTAGGCAATGTGGGTGAAGTGTCTCCCATCCAGCTACTAGTCAGGCCCAACTGTGTATAGTTTAGTGCAGCGGTCACCAACCTGTCGCACAGGAGCTACTGGTAGCTCTCCACCCCCTTCCAAGTAGCTCGCCAAGGGATTTCTGAATTACAAGAATTTTGCTGAATAAGTCAAATTTGATTATTTAAATGCCTGTTACCATTGTACATGTATTATTTTGATGCCTAAGTTTGCGAGCTAATAAATGAATAATGGTTTATGTTTTAAAGGCATCTAACTGCACCTCATCTAAGGCTCGCTGTGGCTCTTATTTTACTCAGTTTCTTGTGACAGTTAAAATGAGTAGCTCTCTATTATCTTTGTTTTATAAAAGTAGCTTACCGGAGGAAAAAGGTTGGGGACCCCTGGTTTAGTGGGATTGAGTATTCTCAAGGTGGTATGACCATAAATATATAGTATTTATTATCACAATATAATGAAATCGTGTATTGTTATTGCCTGTCTGGGGCTGCTCGCACACTGCAGCACAGTGCACAGGGCTGATGGTTTAATCAGATGACAGCACTGATCCATGTATGTATATGGTGCTACGCTCACATACATTTTTAATGAAGTTGATATTGAACTTTCACAAACAATAGCCCCAGCTCACAGTGAAGGGCCCACACATCATGCTTGTGTGAGATGCTGTAGGGCATCTGATGCACATACAGAGGAGGGCAGTAATGAGTATGGCTGCTTACTATCAAAATCATAGTCATAGCAATCATAGCATTATTTGGCTCGTACATGAAATCACAATTAGACCAGTAGTTGATTAGATCTTTCAGAACAGAAAAGAATTCATTGAATAAATTAATACTTGCTTTTACCACCTAGTATTATAAACTATGGAACAATCATAGCAAGTTCATGAGAAAATCTACCCTGTTGGAGAACTTACAAACTCCATAAACACGAAGAAGAAGAACTCCAACCCAGGACTAACCCTGTTGCTATTAGGTCACTGTAGGTCAAACTGGTCAATCAGCTGAGAGCTTCTGAGTGCTTATATTTAAGTGCTGAGAGAGCATCCATAACGGTCCACATTTTTACCATATGTCTCCCCTCTGCTCCTGCCCCAGTAAGAGGCTTAAGTCTGGCCATAACCTAATCTATGAGGGGGCCCTCAACCAGAGCAAAGCACACCCCAGCTCTAAAGCAGGGTGTCATAATGCACCAGCACAACACTTACACAACACTTGTACACGTGTGAGCTGGGGGCAGGGGCAGGTCAGAGGTCATGTTTTGGAGATTTTGTTCGTGCCAGTGTTGTTTAAATACTGAACCGTCAAACTTGATTCTGATACTAAAGAAAAGTCTGAATACTCAGTACCAATTTCACTACCACAATTGTTTTCAGACAATAGTGTGTAAAGCATGGAGTTAAAAAAAAACTGCTTCTTAAAGGAAAATGAGTTTTCCTCATTCTCAGTATATGGACAGGCCATTGCTCATGTGAATCCAATCCACTTTATTTCTATAGCTCATTTCAGAAACAAAACAGTTTCCAAAGTACTGCACAATATAAATAAAACATATCCAACAGAAATATGAAATAAACTCTATTTAATTTTACTACAGCTCGTTAAGTCAATAAAACTAGTAAAATCAAAGAAGAGCAAGAATACCAATAAATAATAAAAAGGTAAAAAATAAAAATAAAAAATACAATAAATAAAAGACACAGAGGAGCACACAACTCACATGGTGTTAAAAGCCAGAGAATAAACGTGGATCTTAAGATGAGACTTAAAACACTCCACAGTGGGGGCTGTTCAAACATGGGGGGCAGAGCTGTGTTGTGAAAGCTCAGAACCTCCAGAATCCCCTCACTGAGCTGCAGAGGCTGCACTAGCACAGGTTCATGCTTGGCTGCAGGTTCTGGGGTTTAGGTAGAGACCACTCAGATCAGAGAGAGGCATTTTAGGTTTAAACCAGCTGGATTTCAGTGTTTAAACTATCAACCCACATGAGAGGCCATCATGTCCAATTTTTTGTATTTAAAAATAAATCACTACTACAACGGTTATATACAGTCCCTTTAACAATTCAAAACACAGTATTTTATCTGTTGAATGTTCAAAAAACAATTCTAACAGCAAAAACAAGACCTCAAATTGCTCTTGTCTAAAGCCTGCCTATGCTTAGTATAAACCCAATGTGCTCTTGCAGCAAATGTCATGTGTAGCTGGTGAGCGTGTGCACTTGGCCAGCGGCGCATGTGCAAGCTAGGATGCTACGTCAGCGCTTACCTGCTAACCCTCACTCTGCAGTTACCATGGACACCCAGAGGGGACGATTATCGATACCACAACCCAGACGCATGCATGGGGAGGGGGCCGGGAGAGTGAGGTACACATGGAGAGCAGGGGTTTCTCCTTCTCCCTGTGCTAAACACGTGATCTGTCCTGTCTACTTCCGCTAATGAAGACATATGGTTGGGGTAAAAACAGTACGTGTGTGTGGGGGGTTAAAGGGGGGCGTGTGCGTTTGTGTTTCGACGGGCCATGGTTTAGTCAGCTGTTTTGGGTAAAGGTCACATATTATGCTTTATTCAGGCTTTTATATATAGAAAAGTAGCTTTGGATATTTCCTACGCCCTCTGCTGGCTACAGATGAATGAAATAGCACAAGGAATTAGCAATATGTCATAGAAGGCATGAAGAAATGACTGTTAGACAATGACATTTGCACCGGATTGGCTCTTTGGTTGTTAAAACACTCATGGTTGAAATTCCAAATACGGACCTCAGCTCCAAATTCACCCCCATAACCTGTTGGCCTCGATGAGCTTCATTTGACTGATGCTGAATGCTATGGGTGACGTCACCCTCACTTAGTCCATGTCTTTATACAGTCTATGGGATGTACCACATTTTAGAATTCATAAAGGCATTTCTTAAGTATAATTGTAAATCATTTTTCTGTTTGCGAACCAGAAAATAACACTGGTGCAATGTTAGCATGCTAGTTGTTGTCAGCATTATCATGATTGTAAAACTCCAGTCTGGCCTCTGAAATGGTAAATGGTTACATTTTTAAACAGTGATTTTCTACTTTCAAGGTACTCAAAGCACTTTACAACAAGGAAACACTCACACCAGTGTACGCAGACACTGGGGACGAGGTGGGTTAAGTGTCTTGCCCAAGGGCACAACAACAGCATTTGTCTGTGGGAGCTGCCAACTGCCACCGCCAACGTGTGGGTCAATGGATCTGACCGCTCAACAAGTGAGGTTATTTTTCGTCAAGAGCGGGATTCAAACCACCAATGTTCTTACCAACTGAGCTACTGTTGCCTGAAGGTTGAGAAATCTGCTCATAGTTTGCTGTGGTGAATAATTATAATTAGGATGCTAGAAATGTTAGAAAAGTGAGGAATACATTTGGACCGCTGCAAACTGTTTAAAATAAACTAGTTCTGTTTTTCACATTTTTAATTAAGACAGTAAAAATTAGGTAGAGCATCAATAATGTTATTCTAGTAAATATATGTGGGCAACAATCTGGTTTGGCAATGATATAATAACTTAAAGAAGGACTATTTTGGTTCTATGGGGTATTAACTGCTAACACCATCACCATGTTACATTTAGTTTTGAAAATGCTATATTTCCCAAAAACAACATAATCAACATATTAACATGCTTTATAAGTTTCACTTTTGTTTCTGATGCTCTGAGTGTCCCCCTCCCTTTGTCACCCCCCCTTCAGAGCACTATCACAACACAGTCAGCGTACATCCTGCTAATGAAACTACTGCACATCACATCCGGTTTCTCAAGTTGTTGTGTACAGTTTTGTATCACATTTTTGTATATTTATAGAGAATTGTTGTGGAAGCATGACTGACGTAGGCTTGTGGGCTGAGCATCGCACAGAATCATACAGCTAACCATAAGGAAGGTTCAGGAGAAATCACTAAATTACTGAAACACCTTCATGGATGCTTTTGATGAGGAAACATTACAACATGGTGCGAAGTGCGAAACAAAAACAAAAAAGATTTTGCGTAATACCTCCTCTTTGAGTTAATTAAACATGTAGTCAGTCTGATCTTGATGCTTATTATTAGGGCTGGGTATCATTGAGAAGTTGGCGATACGATACATATCTCGATACATAGGTCACGAGATGGCACTCGATACAGTGAGCTTTCATTTCGAAATGATATACTGTATTTCAAACTGATTTGATACAGTCCAATAAAAATAATGGCAAAATGATGGCTGTGATACTAAAAGTCTTTGTTGTGCACAGTTCATATGAAACTAGGAGTGTAACAATATCCAAGTCTCACAATACGATATTGTCATGGGATGAACCTCATGGTATGATATTTATTACAATATCGTGGGAAAGCTCACTATATGGTGGGGAGGCTCACGATTAGAGATGTAACAATATCCAAATCTCTCGGTACGATATTTTCAAGATATTCATCACATGGTACGATATTTATTGTGATATTTTGTGGAGGCAAACAAAAATGTGAATATGCAACTTTTTCCTCTTAAAATGCCTTAACAAGACTTCATCCAAAGAACTAAAACTTAAAAGTGCTTAGAACTAAGGATGTATCAATAATCGAAATATCGTGATATTGTATCATCAAAAGTCTCACAATAATATCGTAGACTGTCACAATATACCAAATCACAAGTTTCTTTGCTTAAATGCAAGGTTTTATAGTAGCAACAGCTTATAAACATCGGGAACACATATATAACAACATGAAGAAATATGTTTTTGCTTGAGCTCTTGGGATTATGACGGTAATAACCCACACCAAAATCCTGTCAAAATTTTAAAAGCAAAAAAGTGTCCCAGCCTCTTCAAACTATTGCAATAAATATTGTACCGTGAGATTTGGATATCATTACATCCCTGGAATATGTCAGTAAATGTTGTACCAAATGACTGGTCAAAGCATTTTGTTGTGTCAGTCTTGTTATTATGAATATCATGAGCTTTCCCACGATATCGCAATAAATATCGTACCGTGGGGTTCATATCGTGACAATATCATATCGTGAGACTTGGATATTGTTACACCCCTACTTAGAACAGTTATTTCTTCTTGTAGTCTGCACTGAAATGGAGCATGGTCTATGTAATTCTCTCTGTCTTTTTTTAACTATTGCTGCACTGTAACTATTAATTTAAGCAGAGACTTGTAATTCAACATATTGTGATGGTCCACGATATTATTGTGAGAACTTTGACGATACAATATCATGATATTTCGGTTATTGTTACATCCCTATATGAAACACAAACATTTTAATCATCAAAACAGTGAATATGTCAAATGTGTTGCATAAACGAGTGTCCTTCCTGTAGCACTGTAACAAAATTATTTAGTAAAATATACCAAAATATACTCTTGGCAGTATATCGATACAGCAGCCCACGATAGTGATACTGTATCATCACATTAAATGATATATTACGATATAGCGATAGTTCAATATTTTTGCACACCCGTACTTATTACTGTGAATTTCTTATTAGTTTTTATTCTGCTGCTAGGACAATACATCCTTACAGATTTCCCTAATATTAACACATACAGTAGCTGTGGTTTATTGGCTGTATTTAGATTGCCTTCACAAACAAATGAACAGCCTTGTAGCCCTCTAACCTTCACGGTACCCTTCCTCCCTCCCCCCTTCTGTGTCTGTGTCTCACCCGGGATGGCCAGATGGATGGAAGGAGGCACAGGAGGCGCAGGAGGATGAGAGGAGCGAGGGATGAGAGGAGGAATGGAGAAGTGTGGGGGGGGGGTTTAGAAGGGCATTGAGGACAGTGTGGAGTGTGGGTTCGTCTCAGTCAAAATGCTGACAAGGGCACCAGGATTCTAGCAGGCGTACATGTTGGTTTTCAGTGCTTTGAGACATTAGAGTTGTCAGAAGCATCAAAAATCAAATACTTGTTGTTAATAAAACTAGTGTCGATCCTAGACACTTATTTGAGCAGGTATCTGTACTAACAAAGTCACATTCTCAGGATAGAAATTAACCTTTCCTGAACAGCTTTAGAATGCTCTTGAGCTGATCAGAACAAATATATGACCACATACGCCCATGGACCACTATGGAACCTACCGGGACTGTTGAGGGATTACACAGATATAAGGCCACATGGTAATATAAAAGAAATGACAATGATTTAATGCTGATGACATTCTATTGCCTAAAGAGTGTTTTTAATTATCAACAATGACATGGTATCGAAATTGTTAGTATCCAGTCTAATCCTTAGTATGAAAATCAATGAAATTTTAGTATTGTGACAACCCAAGGGGACATGGCAAACCATGTATCATTTGTTCATTTGTTTTTTAATATAAAACCAAAAATAAGAAAACGAAAAAACAACAGTTTTCTTTATTATTTATCTCCAAAACCAAAATGAAAAAACGGATAATGATTCGTTTTTTCAGTTTTCGATTTTGTGTTTAAATGAAGAATGGAAAAAACGGATAATGGCCTTTTCCCGTTTACGTGACTTCCGTGACTGTGATGCCAAACTGAATCAGGACTGAACCAGGACTGATCCAGGTCCGGGACCAAACCAGAACCAGACTACGACTGACAGACAGTTTAAAGCACGGAAACAGGAAACGGCAGTTATCTGTTTTTTCCATTATTCATTTAAACACAAAATCAAAAACTGAAAAAATGTATCAGTTTTTTCATTTTGGTTTTGGAGACAAATAATTAAGAAAACAGTTATTTTTTTGTTTTCTTATTTTTGGTTTTACATTGAAAAACGAATGAACGAACGCTACACGGATTCATGACATTGACTTACATTCTTTTCTAACCTTAATCTGGGGCTGTGTGATTAATCAAATTTGAAGTGAAATTCACTTTCTAATTGTCAGTGATTTATGGAGAGGCTCACAGCCAATCCTCTGTCAGTGAAAGCATGTGGTATGGAGTTCAGACTTTGGAGGAGGATATTTACTAAGTTTGTGTTAAACTGTCATTTTAAAAAGTGTGAATTGTTTATGTTCAGAAATGTATTCTGAAACCCCTCTTTACTTGTTTTTAAATTAAGAACAAAAGAGAACAAAACTTTTCCTATTTATCTAACATTTGCCTAAACCATAACCTATTTTAACCTATATCTGAACATTAAACCATGTTGCTGTTGATCTAATAATAAAGAATTTACATCATGGGGACCACCTATTTGTTCCTATAAGAAAGACAGGTTGCTATAAAGTGAGTGTGTATAATGTGATCAATGAATGCACACACACACACACACACACACACACAGACACACAGGCCCATCCCCTCTCTCACCTTTGTCCATTAGCTGGTTAAACAGGGACACATTGGAGAAGAAGAACAGATAAGCGAACATCTGAGCCTGGATCTCCGGGTGGACCTGGTAACCCTGCAGCAGCTCCTGGGTGCTCTGAAAGACCTGGGCACACGCAATGAGGATTATGTGATCATCTGGACGCTACACAAAGCATATTACTAATATCTAACAGTTAATATGTTCCGTATTCAAATTAATTAATCTTCACATTTAAAACATTTAGATTAAACTGGGATATCCAAATTTTATTGCCAAAACTCTTTGTGAACCCCCCACGATGTTCTGCATACCCCCAAGATGACCTGAACCACAGTTTGGGAATCATTGTTATATCACCCAGCTTTAATGCCAAGATATAAATTAAAGGCCATGTATCCTATTTCTTCCATGTATTTGATTTACCTCTCCTCAGTACAGATGTGCAGGTGAGCCCGGGGCTGTCTGTGTCATTCAAAAATCATTCATGTCATTCTTTTTCTCTGCTGTTACCAGTACATGTTTGAAAATAGTCTTTTTTTAAATTTTTTTTATCCAGCATCAGATTTACAACACATTAGTATAGCTTGTTTGCTTTGGGGTATTTTTTTCTGGAAAGACTGGACAAAAAGTAGCTGACCTGTAGGACTCTGCGCACAGGCTCAGGGAAGCCCACTCCTCCTTTCCAGCAGGGCTCTGAGCCGTCCACAGGGAATGGGTTACAGTCCAACAGGCCCGGCAGCACCACGTACAGAGCCTGTGCACACAAGTCACAAGTCACAAGTCAGACCAGCTGTTTTTGTTACAGTGGGACTAAACACCTAAACTCTGCCCACAAGAGCACTTCAAATAGATCTGCTAAACTGAGCAGTACCTGAGGACTAAAAAAGAGAATGAGAGATAGGAGGGGTGGGGTGTAATTGGGCTAACAGGTATCCACACTTCAAACTCCACTCCTGCAACCAGGTGTTTATAAGGTTTTAGCGTTAAACCTTACAAGGTGTGATGTGTGAGAAGTTTCATTAAGCTAAAAATGACAGATGTCCAGTGAGCACTATTGTTTCATAAAAATCACTGATATAAACCTGATTGGACGGTACTGTCTGAATCTGTCAGACTCTCTGTAAAAAACACAGAGGGATATCAATTTTGGTAAAATGTACTAGCCTGCCACATCATTATTTCACTTTGATTTTCAGGGTGTCTATAAAATGAAGCCCTCTGTGAGCTCAAAATGTTATTTCCTTTAAAAGAAGTGGAATCCTTTTGTTCCTAAGACATTGCCCTGTTTATATTTGTATAGATATCCAACATATTTTGTACACATTGCGATCTGATGTGTTCTCAAAGTGTTCATTTAATTATTTTGAGCAGTATTTTTTCACAGCAAGACTTTTCTCTAGTTCTCCACTTAAGTAAATGCTATTCCTGCTTAAACGAAAATGATAAACAACGAAAGTGCAAATTAATAAAACTGTTACAAAAAATTAGTTGACAAGAAAATGTTTCAAGCAAGTCAGTCCTATAAAAGGTAGCCTACAATGGTTTACCTTGGTGATATAGTAAACACACTGTTGAAAGGTGTACATGATGACCTCCTCCAGGATGCTCATGGCTTCCTCATTGGCTGAGATGGTCGCCGATAGCAGCGACTCCTTAGACCCTGGACACAAGCAAGATACAGAACAGACAGAGAAAGAGATTACTTGTATTGCAATCTCTGACACTTTATTTCCAGTTATAAAGAAAAAAAAAATGTTGATTTATGATTTGACATTGGCATTTGAGAGAAGACCGAAATATATATGTCTAAACAAATCAGTGAATCTCAGAGAACCTGTTTGTAGAGGTCTGAACTACAGCGATAGCACTTAAAAAAAAAAAAAAAAAAAGAATAAGACCCCAACAGGCCATTACTGATACTTTGAAGCTGATGTCATCAGCATTCCCCTGCAGATGTGATGCTACCAGGAGGCACTGCTCTGTCTGTCAAGTTGACTCAAAGTTTTACTCTAAACAAATCTGACCATAAAGAACTGACTTTAAATCCATTTTGAATTTCTTGATGTCTTGAGTATTAAAACTTTTTGGCAATGTTTCCTAATGTGTACATTGTGCCACCATGGTAACTGCTGAACATTCTGCCATAGACATACTGTACATGCAGAAGCCCCCATCTCAAAGTTGTTAGTCTAGAGTTGTTAAGTGTGATGTTCCGGGCAGGGCTGAGAATAGATTTATTTTTTTAGGTCTATATTTATATTTTTGTCCATTGCTGCTTAATATACACATAATCAGTAGAACATGATGTGGGTAAAATTAATAGCCTAATCATTTTAAAATGTACATCAGTCACATTATTATACTATGTTCAAATCAGGGTCAAGCAGCTTTTTCCTCTACACAGCAGATATTTTCTGATACATTTTAACATTAAAGCTGACTCTGGTGTGAGCAAACTCAACTGTCCAGCTTCCCATCTGTGTGTAATAAACTTCACTCTGTAACCTGTGTACTTTGTCCATGGAAGTCATATGGACAAAGGGCACAATAACCTTGGCTTGCCATATGTTTAGATCATGTCATGGCAAAACCAGTTGTGTCATGACGTTTGCCAAGATAGTTTCCTCCTTCAGTTAGACTTGTGCTGAAGACAGAAGAGTCTGAGGAAGAGTACACTGTGTGTGCATCTGCTCCGTGCTCCTCACAGCTCGCATGGCGCTGTGGCGTAAAGACGCATGGAGAGAGAGAGGGGCGAGTCAGATCCAAATGAATGAACTCAATTCAGAGCGCTGAAAATTCGAGGTAGAGCAGATTAAATATTAAAAAATACACAGTCTGACCCAGAAATAAATTAAATTAAGTGGTGGTGATAATTTGAGTCTAGACTCAATTATTTCAGTGGGACTACTTTTCTGTGCTTACTTTCACCCCTGCTTCCAGATACATGATCTGATTGAAAACAATGAACATGTTCCTCACATTAAAAATAGATTACAGACTTTTAAAGCTAACAAAGTCATAAGCATAGATCTATGGTTATAACTAAGACAGAAAGTGTATGAGGGAGTCTGAGGTAAGAAGACAGGTTAGGCAAAGATAGCATTAACGGTAACTGGAAGCTGGTGAGATATATGTGCTAGTAATCCTACATTATGATAAATTATTACAACATTATTTACATATTTGATACAATTTGTGGTTAAACATGGGCTTTTGAAAGGTAAATGTCTGTTGCTTGATGCATAAGGAACAAAAACAAATACAGAAATCAAGTGACATCATCACTTAATAACTCTATTGCCTAAATAATAACAGCATTTAGCTAATTGCAACAATTCAAATAGAGATTTAGAATGGATTGCAGTGAATGTTGAAATAACAGTTGCAGTCCCACCCTGCATGTTCTCGATGCTGTGTGTGTAGGCCGGCGTGCGCTGCTGGATGAAGTAGAGGATCTCAATGGAGTTGGACATCCAGAAGAAGATGGTCTGTAGGTCTGGCACCAGGTCTGAGATACTGAGGAGGGACAGGGAGGCGGGGTCCTGGCTGTAGAGCGCACAACACAGAGGCACTTTAATAGTATACAATACTATTTTATACTATAGCAAGTGTTACACACCCATACACACAGTTTAGCAAATCTTATTTTAATAGTATTTAGACTTTTTAAAACATTTTCTTAGGGAAGTGAGAACATAAAATCTCCACAAAGAAAGAAAGGGTCTCAAATTATTTAACAGCTTAATTTAAAGTGGGACTGAAGACCTAAACTCTGCCCATAACCACATTTTAAATAGAGCTGCTAAACTGGGCAGCCCCTGGAGGACTAAAGGGGAGAGTGGGGTGGAGCTAGGTTGTTTGTATCCTAGCAGTAATCTGGCCAGTCATGCATGATGTCACCAACAACTGGAAACTTAAGCACAAACTTAAATTTAGGCATTTTTGACTACAAAGCGGCAAATTCACTAGTCAAAAAATGACTAGGAACAGTAGATAATGCTATAGCAATGTCATAGAGAGTTCAGTAGAGAAAAAATATTTAGCTTTTAGTTTCAGGTCAAATAAAACTCACAAGAAATTACATAGCCATTTTCTGTTTTTGTCCAGTTCCAATTCTAATTCCAATCACTCCATCACAATAAAATGAAAGATACTCATACTGCTGCACTGCTACTGTAACTGCTACTACTGCTACTATTACTACTACACTACTACTGCTACTATAATAATGAGGGCTTGCAATTTTCTCTCTCGCGTCTCAAACATAGACTGTATATAAATGGACATAGCTAACACAATAGCTGCCACATTCCAAACAGGAATTTCTGATGATACTTCTACCCTTTGACCACCAATAATCACTTACTCACAACACATCCATCATAGTAGGCAAAGTGGGTTAAGTGTCATGCCAAAGAACACAACAACAGCCACTATTGGTACTACCTTTACTACTCTTAATACTAGGGGTGTGCAAAAATATTGCAATATCGACATATCGTATCAGTTAATTTGAGTGTCAATATCGTGGGCTGCTATATCAATATTTCGCCAAGGTATATTATTCTAAATTATTTTGTGTAAAAGCTACAGTTGTGTTGACATTTTCATTGTTTTGAGTAAAATTGGTGTTTTTCATATTAACTATGCATAAATTTAAATGGTCACATTTTTCTATACCGCTTTTCCACCTTCAAGGCACTCAAAGCGCTTTACAACAAGGAACCACTCACCCATTCACACACACATTCACACACCAGTGTACGCAGACACTGTGGGCAAGGTGGGTTAAGTGTCTTGCCCAAGGACACAACGACAGCATTCATCTGTGGGAGCTGGAATCACACCAGCCAACCTGTGGGTCAGTGGATCTGACCGCTCAACCTGTGATGTTTATGTCGAGAGCTGGAATCGAACCGCCAACCTTCAGATCAGTTGGCGAATGCTTCTACCAACTGAGCTACTGCCGCCCAATTTAATGGATTTAGTAGACTTTTAGTATCACACGCAGGATTTAGCTTTTGTTTTTCACGGAACCGTATTGAATCGATCGAAATATATCATATCAAATCATATTGAATTGAAAGTGGCCCATGTATCGAGGTATGTATTTAGGTATGTATTAGGGCCCAGTCAAGCAGAAGTAAACAGCAAGGCCAAAAAATCAAGTTAATGCATCTGATATAAAAATGTATTCAACAGATAGCATATGTACTCTAATTTATGAAACTGTTTACCTTTTTTCTGTACCATTTTTGGTTCTAAAGTTACATATGTTTTAAACAGACCATGTATGAAACATGGAACAAAAATTATTTCCAGACCTGCAAATCATGTAAATAAATGGATGTATTTCATCATATCTTGTGTTATTTGATCTTTGAACTGTTGATGAAGGTACATGATTTAAAAAAAAAGTATTTAAAATGATAAAAATTTGCTTGGAAGGACTGACATATTTTACATTATTTGAAGTAATATTAAAGTATTCGGAAGAAAAAAGCTGACAAATTATGGAAAATCATGCACCTTCTACTTGTTTGCACAATTTTCCCGCCGTTACTTTTCCCTCCGTTACCATGACCTTTCTTAATAAAAAATCTTATTACTCAAATGTAAGAGGTTTTTCAGCCTAATCTTGTACCATATGGTAGAAAACTATATGAAGCAAATATTCAAACCAGTTTGTTAAGGATATGTAAGTGAGAACCGCTAGTTATCGCTGTTTGTATTTATTGTCCAAAAAGTGCTGCATATTTCATTCCCTCCGTTACTAAAATGAGTTTTTTTATTTTGTGTCAACAACTTGAAAGAATATCGCAGGGTTAACTTTACCCTGTTGGAGTGTTAACTCTTTCCTACATTCCGATACCTTACTTATTTCACTAGTCCCTCTAGTTTCTGAATAAGAGCTATTTGAATGTAAAAAATCTGCCCGTTTCCCTCCGTTACCGCTTGACCGGACCCACTTGCAACTTCTTAAAGATACCCAGCCTTACGTAATACTACACCTAATAATAGGCTTAAAAAATTTGGTTTGGGAATCTTAAAATATGCATTTGTGTGACTGTCCTTAAATGTAACTTGAGTAGTTGAACTTATGGAACACCCCCTCACAGCACATGCCTCTACAGCTCCACGTGTGTGCTCTGACACAGTAGTAAAAGGATACTCACTGCTGAGCTTGCTTCTGTGCCAGCTCCTTTGTCTTCTCCTGTAAGACACACACACACAGACACATGCACACACACAGACACAGACACACACACACACACAGAACACTCTTATTAAGGCCTCATGAATGTTTGAGCGTGTGCGTAGGAGCTGAGAACTATCACATGTCCATGGCCATGACCCACACTGCCCCACTGCTCCAGATAGAACAGCGGGGAGACACATCAGCCAGTTAAAGTGCCTGTGACAGTTTGGACTAATCATTTTCCACTGTCTAAACTGGGACAACACACAAAATCACCGTTTAGTGTTTGAAAGAAATGTATGTTATGGAAATCACTGTAACCGATGGCCATATTTCTACATTCACCTGTAACTAATCGATTGCAATCAGTTGCAATGACATTACAGGCCTTAACTTAATTTTTGCCATGTATTTGAGCAAAATAAGGTCAAAATACGTCTGCTGTATTCTGTCTGTATCTAATTATAAAGCGATAGTCAGGAAGTGCAAGGTTAGCATACTAGTTGCCAATAGCAATACAATGAACAGCACAAGTAAGTCTCTGAAAGTTGAGAAAAGATCAAGGTAATTCAGGAATAACTTTGGACCACTGCAAAAATGTTTAAAAGGTACTAGTTATGTTTCTTTCACATTTTTGAGACAGCAAGTATCAAGTACAGCGCCTTTAAACAACAAAACCTAAAGTGTGAGTGGTTAAACTGTAAACTGGATAATGGTTAACCCTTTAGATGCACAGTGGGGGGCACAGACAGGTATTAACTGGTGTAACAGAATACATGTGATCCAGCTGTTTAACTATTCACTGAGCTGTCGTGGTTAGATAAGGTGGGATAAGGTTGTCTGGTTCCACATGAGCTCATCTTCACACCAACGCACCACTGGCCAGAACAAAAGCACACAAGCTTCACTGTCTGCTCTCAAGAATAAGGAAGGAACAATACAAAACCTATGATATTATTAGTAGGGCTGTACAACATGAGAAGAAATGTGTGATTTTGGATAACTATGTTATTGCAATATTTTACAGAAGCATTATTGCTTCATTGCATTTTCCATGAAGAAAAGCAGGCCAATTTACTGGCGACGGCTGTGAAGTTTTTCGATTTTAATTTTAATGCAAGAAAGATTAGATTAATGCCATACAGTGGAAGATTTCAGGCAAAGCAACAACATACCAGTGAACATAAATAGGTGGCAAAGTTCTTTAGTGCACCTAATCCTTAATTAAAGATAAAATAAAAACCTAAACAAGCTCAAACAAGGTTAAAGCAGGACTCAACAAGGATAATAATTCATAAATACATTCTAAAGCACACATATTATGCAAAATTGCCATGTTATAACTTGCAGGTGTATTTGGCTTCATTTGCACTGGTCAGAATATACAGGGTTCAAAAAATCATTGCCACATGATGCCAGACAACCAACTGTAAGTCTGTGCAGTACTCTAATGAATTATTACCGTAATGTAACATAAAAGCACCCTTATAACCTGAGCCAGTGGAGAGAGGGAAATACTGACCCAAGCAATGGTCTGGATCCTGCGCACGATCTTGAGCAGCAGCTTCCCAAAGCTCCCAGGAGGGAAACTGGAGGCAGAGTGCTGTATGCACAGACACAGCAGGTAGGCCGTGGTCAGCTTGTGGTCGTCTCCTGAAATACACAGACAAATGCTAGTCATCACATCTATTATTATCCAAGTAACAAAGCTTTATCAGAAATATATAATTGTCAGTTTGGTTAGTGTAAAAAAATGCAATGTATATTTTCAATAAGGTTCTCTATAAACTGGGGCCATGCAGTTAATAAATTTAACAGTGATTTATTCAGATTTTTAATGGTCAGTGATCAGCTTGGGTCTTTTCAATAGAGGGCTACAGTCAACTGTAGAGTACAGTCGATTAATCGGTCAATGGTGTCTTAGTTGGCAAAATTGGTATTAGTCATCTAACTAATATAACAGCAATTTTAATCTGCATTTTTTTTCATAAAAATTTTATTTCCAGGTAAGATTATAGAAATATTTAATAGCAACAGTCTCTTAGTCAAATAGTCAAGTGATATGTTTTTCTTTAGTCTGCTACAGCCCTACTGGATTGTATATACAAACCTCCAGGTTCGATGAGCGACACTATCCTGTTTAAGAGCTGGTCTTCGTGCGCCTGCTCAAACTCCAGCTGTAATCGTCTCTTCTGCCCCGCCCCTCTGGCCCCGCCCCCCTCCGGTCCTGCCCCGCCCACACTGAGGGGTGTAGCCACAGCCAGTCCCACTGCCGTCCCAATGCTGCGGGGCTTGACCAGGTGTGGCTTAAAGCTGCGTCTGACTGCGGGCACACTGGACACCTGGCCCGCTCTGTCCTTCAGCGCAGAGCCACACATCTTACACACCTGTCCCCCATCGCCCTCCTCCGCCCCCGCCTCGTACAGCTGTCCCAGGGAGCGCAGGCGGGCAAGGGTCTGGGCGGGCAGCGGCTTGGATCCTGTCGGGTCCTTGTACAGAAAGATATAGTGCGCTCCAAAAGAAAGCAGGTCCCCGTGGCGCAGGGTGGTGGAGCGCTCGCAGCGGGAAAAGTTGACCAGCACGGTGGCGTTCAGCACGGGCTCCACGGCGACGCTGAAGCGCTCTCCAGGCTCCTCCCCCTTTGCACTGTTGCCATGGCGGCGGGGAGCGGGAACCTTCCGGAGGCGACAGTGCAGGGGCATGATGTCCGGGGAGAAAAGGCAGATGTTGGGTCGAGCTGAAGGGGTCTCCTGTCCCACTGTGTGCTGCTCTCTGTTCAGCAGGTACACCAGGCAGTCCTGCAGCACACACACACACATTTTATACTGCGCTGTAATAGCTCTGCACCAGTATTTATCCCGAGGCACTGCTAACAAGGCCCAAATCCTCTGTGAACAACACTGTGTTAGCTGTTGCATTGGTTGTACAGTGCCAACCATTCTGTTCTTAAGGTCTCTTCTATTAAAGGCTCAATAAAATACATTGATTTGAAAGCATTTTTTTAATCTTTAAACTATATTTTTAAAGATCTTATATTACACAAAATTGATTCCTGTGTGCTTTAAACCATGTTAGAATGTTGTTACATCATCAAAAACATTTCATTCACACATGTTTGAGTAATCCTTTATTATTAGTCTGTAAAAATGCTTTGTTCCACCATGTGTTTTCTGTAACTCAACCATCACGTATATTTGCAATGAAGAAACATAGGAGGAAACACAGACTAAAATGAAGAAATCCAAGGCTCTCCGAGGCATGTGGGAAGGCTGGTATTCCTTTTAGCTAAATGATTATGTCTGGTAAAAATAGGATCGATCTGAATGGAAATTTGTTGGCTAGCAAACATCCTCAACATGCAGAATTGGTCAAGTCCTCCACCTAATCATGACCAAGATTAGCTCAAGATCTGGAGATGTCCCACAGCTCCTGACAGGTTACCCCAGCAACATTGAAGAATGGGACAAATCTCCCTATGGGTATAATACAGTGCACCCTAACCATCGAGAAACCACTTAAACAGCTGCATCCCACCAAAACAAGCATTGCTGCAAACACATCCAGATGAAAAGACTGTCAAAACCATATCATTTAAACTATAGAAAAGCCATAGAAAATTGCTAGACCTGCTGACTGATTAGTCACCTAAAAGGGGGGGTGGCAAAGCACTAAAAACTATTATATATCTCTATGCACCTGACCCAAACTGCAAAAAACAACTATCTACAGAGAAAAAGTACTAGAAAAACAATATAATTTAGTCTGCCTTTCTACAAATAAATACCACAAAATACAAAATGTTTAGCTAATTCACTCACTCACCTCCTTTCTGTCGCTGTTCCATATAAATCCATACAATCTAAATAAAATGATCAGTCAACTAATACAAATTTTGGCCAGCTGCAGTCCTAATAGAAAGAGCTGCCAGTTATAGTAATTAAAATCACATACTGGTCATTCAGCATAAGAAAACAGCTCAGAGAGAGAGAGAGACAGAGAGAAAGCGTCCGCCATCTTGACAGTTACAGCTACATGACACCCTCCCCTGACTGTAATCGATTCAGTCCCGACACTTTGGAGAAAATCAATCCCCAATGGAGCTATACCAGATGCATTGTATGAGCTGACAGTAAAAGAGAGATCTGGCCTGGCTGGTGTCCCACAGGCTGCCTGACCTGGCGGTTGTATCCCTGTAGCAGCAGCAGGTGAGGGGACTGGTACAGCGAGTGGCGCACCCCTCCTCCTCCTCCTCCTCCGTGGCTGCTGTCCTCTTTCCTGCGACCGCTCGACACCTCTCGCTCTCGGGATCGCAGAGGCCCGGGCAGCGTGGAGTAGTACCGCTTTGGCTCGTCACCCACTCCCAGCTGTGAGTCAGTCCACAATATGTATCTTAGTTACACAAGTTTTTAGTATCGATGTGCAGACCTGGCTTATTTCTTCTTCTTGTTTTCTAAGGTGTTAATAGGTTGTATATTACACATTAAAATTGATTCTTGTGAGTTTTGAGCCATGTTCTAAAGCTTTTATCTCATCTAAAACATACCTGGAGTTGTGTTTTGTTTCATTCACACATTTGAGTAAGCCTTTATTATTAGTCTGTTTACATCTCCAAAGCTCAAAATTCTGTGTTCCACCTTGTGATGTCATGTAGTGGTAGTTCTCATGTTAACAGCTACCTTTTACTTTTAGGCCCTGTCCACACTAGTACGTATTCAAGTTGTTTTCGTTGTGGATGCAGTGTTCGTCCACATTAATCTGATTGAAAATGGCTCCAGAGACGGAACGATCTGGTGCCGCCAGCTCCCACGAATTCATTTGAGTACGGATCTGATCCGGCACTGTGTGGACACCTGAAAACGCTGATATGCTGATGTAGGTCTATGTACCGTCAAGTAAATCACCGCTAAAAAGCTAAGAGGCTAGAATATATTAATATATATACGGTCTATGTATGACCTGCAGACGTATAATCTCTGAAAAGTTTCACATGAACCATCTTCAACGTGACAGAACCACAGAACAGACCAAACCATCAGCAGAACACCCCTCTGTCACAGAAAGAACACTGATTCCACTGAGTCGTGTCCTTTAGTCCGACAGAAGCTGAACCACATCAGCGCACAATAGCGAGCTGTTTTTTGAGCACTTAATTTATGCAAATTAGCCATGCGGTTTTAAGTTTCGTTTCTGTAAAATGTAAACAAATCTGCTCAAAGCTGTGTGGATAGGGAAGGATTGCGGACTCAGAAACAACGTGTGTGGACGCAAATCATTTCCAATACGGTGATATGCAGATTAGTTTCAGTGTAAACAGGGTCTTAGTTCAGTAGAGATTGGAAATTCCAGGGTTGAAATTATCCAGTGATTCTAGTGAAAGTGTATGGTGTTTAAAAACATAGTGGAGCACTTCCTGTATTACCACATGACATCACAAGGTGGAGTGTTTTCAGTTTGAGAGAAGAAATCCTAAATATGCTTGATGTGTGTTAAACATTCGTCAATAAAACAAAACACAAGCCAAAACATTATAACATAGATCATGGTAACAAAAAAATCTTAAATTAGGCAGTATATCGGAAATGTCATAAAATAAGCTATAAAATCTAGCAAAGACAAGTAAACAAATCAAATCTAGTCAAAATATTAACATGTACATTCATATTCTAAATTCATGTCATCACTTCATTCGGCTTGTAATACAGTGAGGAGGCTGGGGCCTACCTGGTTAAGGCTGGTCTCGCTCAGGCTGCGGCAGAGGGATGAGGTGCCGGAGCGGGGCAGGGTGAGTGTCCCTTTGGCTCTGTTCCTCTGGAGCTTGCGGGCCTGAGCGTTGATATCTGCGGGGAGCAGAGACCAAAGAGAGAGGGTAAGACAGACGAGAGGAGAATACACCGCAAAACTTGGCTGTCTACTGGAGTTAAATGACTTGGATTAGTAGTCTTTATTCTTTCATTACATGTAATAAACCAGAGCAGTTGTTCCAAAATTGGCTTGGACCTAGTATTGTCCTGGTTTAGTGCCAAGTCTTTTCCTAGAGCAAAAAAGGATTCAATAATAAATAGTAGAGGTGTAACAATATCCAAGTCTCACGATACGATATCGTCACAGTATGAACTTCACGGTACAATATTTATTGCGATAACTTGGGAAAGCTCATGATATGGTGGGGAGGCTCATGATTAGGTACATAACAATATCCAAATCTCTCAGTATGATATTTTCACAATATACGTCTCATGGTACACAGTATGGTTTTGTGGAGCTAACAAAACTGTTAACATGCTACTTTTTCCTCATAAAATGCTTTGACAAGAACTAAGATTTAAAAGTGCTTAGAACTGTCATTTCTTTATGTAGTCTGCACTGAAATGGAGCAAAGGATCATGGTCTATGTAGTTCCAGCAAAGGATCATGGTCTATGTAGTTCCCTCTGTCTTTTTTTATTGCTGCACCATAACTCTTAATTTAAGCAGACTTGTAATTCGATATATTGTGATGGTCCACGATATTATTGTGAGAACTCTGGCAACATGATATCACGATATTTTGGTTATTGTTACATCCCTAACAAATAATTTCGTCATAAACTACTCAGTGATTTTATTTTTCAATTTGTCAACTAGACAATCTCTTTTTTTCAAATTCAACCAGTTAAAGAGGGGGTACTGCGCTAAAAAAAAAAAAACAACTTCTACCATATTATAACATACCCTCACCAAAAACATCCCAACACGCTGATTTGTGATAGCACTTTGAAGAGTGAGCGGAGAGCAAAGGGAGGGAGATGTAGAGTGTCAAAAACGAAAGTGTCAGAAACGAAAGTGAAGCTTATAAAACATCTCAACGTGTTGTTCTAATCTAGGTGAACAATCACACAAGACACATGTCTTTAGTGAACCAAGAATCCCTACAGTGAAATAAAGAGGGTTTAGTTCTCTGATGTTAATATTCTGAATACAAGTCATTTAACACATTAGACAACAAATTTTTTGAAGTGTATAAATTTGAAAAATCAGACATCCCATAATAGACAGGTGGCACAGGTACATTTAACAATATGAACATTACAAGTCAAACAGTGAGTCAGGAAATGAAGGAGGACACATTTGAAGTGAATGAAACAGTGAATCCAACAGCCCCTGTGGTTGGATGACAGCTCACGGGACATGCAGGGCTCACACAAGGGTGGGCAACTCGGGAGAGCTACACCATCCGTAAGATTTCAAGCTAATTATCCTGGTCATGACATTAAATGCTTCAAACATACATGAGTGCATGTGCATTGTATTTGCAGATATACCCAACATCACTGTCACTAGTTTTCCAAAACTGATGTAGTAGCAAATTCTCTATTCAATTGTTAAAGAATGCAAATTATGCTAACTTGACTTTTTGAGTTTTTAAACATGTTAAACATTGTTCCCTCATTAAAACATACCCGGTTTCAATTATGCTCTGTAAAAAGTACTTTGCTTCTGAGCCTCACCAAACGCACATTTTCCCAGGATTGTCATAGACACCCTGCACATATCAGTAACTAGTTTAACATTATTTTGTGTAGCTTTTTGCTCAGATGCTAACTGAAGCTAGTACTTGTTATTACTAACTTATTATGATTTGTCACTCATGTATTTGTCAGGCTTACATTAAATAAATAAAAGGGGAAAAAGCCATCTCGAAATTTTGATATTTGATTGATAATGGGTCATTCCACGCCAAATCTCCGAATGCCCCCGCCCGACCATCTCAGATTTGACTGAAAAAATTAGAAGTTTTAATAATAATTTTAACTCCTTATAGTTTTATAATTAAAAAATATTTTGTCATCTCCCCCCTGACCTGTTTTGAGCAGAGTTGTCCGAGGAGCCACTTTCAGATTGCTGTATCTAAAAAATTATTTAATGTAGGTTCTTCAAATTTTCAAGGGTTAAAATTTGGCAAATGTACTTGTAGAATATTGACTTTCACACTTGTGCTTTTGATTTATCACAGATTTCTGGGGACTTAAATTTGCTTGAAAGTGCAATTTCAAAGACAGAGGTTTGATATTGAACATATACCTTCCACACATGCTGTGTACTTTGTATTTTAAAACTGAGCCTCTGTGATGAATGCTCTAGAAGATATTAAGTGTTAAAAATGGAAAAAATTAATTTGGTGCCATCTTTACCATGTTATAGCAAAAAAATGACAGCACCCACCAACATAAAATGGACTGTTTTAGAAAGACTAGATATCTGTGTGTTGTAAAGGTATCTAGCACTAATCTACGGAAGACCTTGAAAATTTGAAGGACCTACCTTAAATAGTTTTTTAGATACAGCAATCTGAAAGTGGCTCCTTGGACAACTCTGCTCAAAACAGGTCAGGGCAGAATTGACAAAATATCTTTTAATGACAAAACTATAAGGAGTTGGGAGCTAAAATTTGGAATTTTTCCTATTGGAAAGTGTGTGAACTTCTTCGAATTTTTTCAGTCAAATCTGAGATGGTCGGGCGGGGGCATTCAGAGATTTGGCGTGGAATGACAGTAATGCTAACCGACTGAGCTGGTTAGTTGGTCAGTTCTGGTCACTATCAGTGTTACTGACCTCACTTTCACCTCCATTATATTATTACAGTTGGGTTAGCACAGACATCTCCATCTTACGGAGTGTTCATTTCAAGTGTTCTGTTATCAATACTATTAAAGATCCATCTGTAACTCACTCTTCACTGCTTTATTTTAGCACGACTTGGCAAAAACCCCATAGGAATATAATGGGAGAAGAAATGGTAATGTCTGGAACGAGCCTGGAACTGTTGTGCATGGTGCCAAATTGCCAGTCATTAAAAAGTTATAAGTCATATCATGTTATTAAGGCTCTTATTAAAAATAGAATTCTGTCTCGCTTGGGCTGAGATAGTTTGATTAAGACCCACCCCTAGCACACGCACACTCGTCACAGGGAATGGGTTGTGTTGCCGTGGACGACACAGGTAGAGGTGGTATCCATGGTGATGACAGACAGCCCCCCCCTACCTGAGAACAGTCCCCACCTTTGGAGCCGGACTGTGGCACTCGGCCGGAGCGCAGTGGGGAGCTCCTGAGTTTGCCCAGCCCGGACCGACCCATTAGAGCGGCCAAGAAGTGAGGGGCTCGGCCTACAGCTGGACAGGGGAGGGGACAGGGGACAGGGGACGGGGGAGGGGACAGGTGACAGGGGAGGGCTCAGAGACACACCAGAGCACAGGGACAGCAGGCATGCACTGTGGAGCGGCACTGCACAAATAAACAGATGACTCGATTCTTTTGAGTGTATTTGAGTAGTTTGGACAAGTTTGGATTGATTTATTTAGTGGACAGCACAAATACGTAATGCAAGATTTCCTTCTTTTAAATAATAAGTCATTTGCTAATAGTTACATTAGAAATAAGAGAAAGTCTAATGAAACCAACCAAGAACGTAAAAATCTAACTTTATAATGAATACAACTTAACAAGCTTTGATAAATCAAACTAGACCTGAACTTTACAATTTCTTCAATCTTCAAATTATATTATTATATTTATTTATGCAGTGCAAAAGGGGAGGTGCTTAAAACAAAAGCTGCAATAAATAAGTTTTATACAGGATCTTCTGTCAACACCACATCAGTTAGAAAGCAAATCGGAGCATCTAAACTAAATGCTTTAACCTGAGTAACCTATGGCTAAAACAAAACATTAAATGATTATAAAAGTGTGTTGATACAAAATCCTGCAAAACCATTCTAATCCCCCATGTACGCTCACACAAGCAGAGGAGGAGAAAACCTACAAACAAAGAGACCAGAAACTGCAACACAACAATCAAAGTGTTAGTGACAAAATCAAGAAACTCTTCGATCAGAATTGTCCTGAATCTTCACCACATGTATAGGACAAACACTATACATAAGCCAGTGTCACTAAACAGCTTCAACATGGGGAGTAGGGATGCACCGATCCATACATTCTTGAGCAGAACACGAGAGACCACTGACATACTGAAAGAACCACCAGTCTCTGTTCAAAAGTTTATTTAGTTTGGAGGAAAGAAATATCAGGTATCAGTTGGTATTGAGGTTCGGTATCAGAAATGAAAGAGCTGGATCTGTGCATCTCTACTGTAAAGATGATAATCTAACCAAGAACCCAAACAAAACTTTTAACTCTAACTGTATAAATAACACTTAAAAAACATGTTTTGTTACTTTTCTAAAAGTATTCAAAACTCAGTATCCAGTGGATACTGTTGATTTCTTACAGCAGCACTTGTTCACTGATCCAAGTGAACATAATGAGCTGCTGTAAGAATATTGTACATTATTATACACTCTTACCTGTGTCTACAAACTACTGCTCTATCTGTACATTTCACACAGAACCCAGACCTGCTCAGTTACATAAGTACTAACTGCGTACCCTCTGAGTACTCCCTGAGTACTAGCTGAGTACTAGCTAAGTACTATCAGTGAGTGTCATTCATAAAAGCAGCTGAGGTGTGAGATCCATCAGTGTACTGTAGTGTAGGACTCATCTTTCACTCCCTCAGTCAGATCAGAGCTGCCTCTGCACTTTTACCACATTCACACTGGCCACACGAGGTGTGATCTCCAGCTGGAAATGACACTTCAGAGCAGAAGTGTCAGTACAGACCTGTGCGTGTATGAGCCTCACCTGCAGTGATGGTGTCCTTGTCCTTAGCATTGAGCTCCTCCACCTCAGCCCTCCTCCGGAGCTCAAAGCGCCGGGCATGTCCCTCTCGGGGCTTCCACAGCTCCTGAAGCAACAGAGGCTTCTCATTGTCCCCTAGGGCCCGTAAACACTCAGTCCTCCAGCTGACGCCTCCAACGCCCCCGCCCACCTCCAGGCGCCCAATGACATCACAGAGCACGTAGGAGTGCGCTGCGTCCTTGTTGAGGGAGTAGCGCTCCAGAGCCTCCTTCACCAGCTCCTGTGCACTGGAGCGGGGCGTGGCCAGGACGCTCTTGTAGTTGGCCCCCGCACAGATCTCATCTCCAAAGATCTTGAGGACCCCAGGGGCGGAGCTCTGGGTGGACAGCTCAGCAGGGTCATCAGGAGGTCGTTCAGGAGGCTCCTCTGTGGAGCGTCTGTCTCTGTCCCTGGTGTTAGTGCCCACCTCTGTGGGCACACGGTCCCGGTAACTCAGGGTACGGTACAGCACCTGTCAAAGCACACAGGAATCAGAGCTACTGTATATGTGCACCTGTCACAGCACACAGGAGTCAAAGCTCAGGAGGCAAACTGAATTTCTTTGAGTTATATTCGAAATGTTTTCCATGTGCCCTCATGTTTTTTTTCTTCTTCGTATCTGATGTGATTGAGTGGGACATAACTGCATTAGTGCTCATACCTGTGTGAAGGTCCTGCTCTGTCTCTTGAGGCGGCTCTTGGAGGGCAGGGACATGCTGGCCCCGGAGGACGAGCCGTAGAACATGGTGATGCCGGAGTCGTGCCGCCAAATCTGCACCCGCTGGAGTTCACACGGAGGAGATCAGAACAGCCCGGGTTGCATTGCTCTGTCACCTGTGACACTGCACACACATGACAGAGGGAACTTAGATTAACAATAAATATTAAAGTACCCATATTATTGTAATAATGTTGTTTCCTCATCACAAACACATTTTGTTTCATTCACACATGTTTAACACACAAACCTTGCATATTTAGGCTGTGTTCTTCTCTCAAATCGGAAACACTTTGTTCCACCTTGTGATGTCATGTGATAATACAGGAAATGCTCCACTGTGTTTTTAAACTCCAACATGTGAATGAAACAAAGCACAACTGCAGGCATATTTTTGAGGAGGAAACAACCTTCTAACATGTCTTAAAGCTCACAAGAATACATTTTGGTGTAAACTCTGACCTTTAAAAGTTACAGTACTATTATTTCAATATTCCTCAGAATAGAATCTATCTAGGATAAGGGAGCTAGGAATGCATTAAGAAACTGAAAAATAACTTTAGATGACTGCAACGTATTTACAATTAACTACTTGAGATTTTCACATTTTTAAGGTGAAGAAATCTGGATAGGTACAGTGTGTTTAATCAGTAAGAGCTATGCACAATGATTTCTGAATACAGTTTTCACATATACTTTTAAGACTCCTCAGGCTCAGATAAAGCAGTCTCTTTCACTAATTGAAGTGTAATATTGATAGTGGCAGGCTATTGCAGACATGTAATCCCACACTTGTGCAGTCCATATTCAGGCTTACAGGAGGCTCGCACATGAAGCACAGCCGGTCTGGAGACTTATGTAAGGAACTGTTGCTTGTACACAGAGAATGCACAAAATATGACCGCATCACAGCTCTCACTGCAATGGAGAAAGCAGAAAAGAGCAAACCAAAAAGAGTTTAGAAGGCGTATGCAATAAGATAACTTGTTATTTTCCTGTAATCAGACAACTCTAATTGAGATGTAATTCTCTTGACGTGTTTGAGTTCACAATATGAAATTTAATAGCAGAGAAATCAGGAGTCTTCTTTCCTTGAGGTAGCTCCCACTAGCATTAAGCAACAGGTTTGATAGAGCACTTCCTGTATCATCACATGACATTACAAAAACATGAAACATAGTGTTTTCTCTTTGAGAGAAGAACTCAAAGTCTAAATATGCACGGTGTGGGTATAAAAAACACAATATTTCCAGAAAAGAAAAATCTGAAATAGTTCATCTCAAAGGGAAACAAGTTCAAATTGATTTAAATGTATTTATGGAAAGATCTATCTTGCATTTTTTTCTGACTCAAAAAACTGTACTGATGTTTTTGAGTCAGAAACATCTACATCTTTTTGTCTCCATGGAGACATTACTGACTTGCCTGGAATGCTCCAAAGTAGGGCATACTTATGCAGGGCACTGTTAAAAATGGTATCGACTAATGTTCAAAATCATCACAATAAATCGAAAACTCAAATGACATTTTTTGTGTGAAATTCTGAAAAACAAAATACAATACCAGTCAATAGTTTTGCAATCTAATTCATAGTTTTTTTCCTTTATGTTTACTACTTTCTACTTTTTATATACAGAATAAAGCTGGATATATGGAATTATGTAACAAAGAAAAAGGTCTAAAAACTCAATTACTTTTAAAAAATATTTTATATTCAAATCCTAAAAGTATCTACCCGTTGCTTTGTTGTCAGTGCTGCAAACCCTTGGCCTTCAATCAATAAGCTTCCTGAAATGGATTTCACTTCACAGCTGTGCCTTGCGAGGGTCTAGAAATGCCAAAAGTGCAAAGCAGGGTTCAAAGGAAAGGGTGCCTATTTTAAATTTTGCTAAATCTAAAACAACTTTTGAGCTATTTTTAGTTCATTTTTGTTTGCTACATTCCACCTGTCCATAGTTTCGAGAATCTACAATGCAAATAATGATGGAAATAAAGAGGAAAAATACATGAAAAACAAAACTAAAATTTTGACTCTTAGTGCATATTTTTCAAAGAATGCTTCCAATCAAATCCATGCAGTTTTTGTATCCTAGCATTCGAGTCATGCTTTTTCAGGCACGGGATGAACTCTCTGACCGACAATTGCCTTGGCCATGGGACCACCTCTACAGTAAACTACCGTAATATATGAGAATGGGCTTTCTAATGTAATTTGACTTCACCCAATCCATTTGTACTGTATTTATCTATAAACTGATTTTTTTCTTCTATACAAGCGTAAAGAATGTTGTTGTATGCTATCTGACTGTGCAAGCGCTCCTGGGATAACGTGACTATTTAAAAAGCCCCTTAATCCATGTTAATCTGGCTACTTGGCTGTGGTTAACTCAATCTTGCAAGCAACTCTCTGCATAAAAACAAGGGCAATATTCGGCAATATTGCGATATAGAAATGTTCATGTAGTTATGACTTAAATATAATAATCCAAATGTCTGACCATGATTGTATGGTTGTCAAAAATGTTGAAAATCAGATACTAATCAATACTAATACTAGCACTGAAAAAAGATACTCATTTGAGCAAGTATAGATACTAAAAAAAGTCACATTCACAGGACAGAAATGAACCTTTCCTGAATATCTTCAGAATGATCTTGAGCTGTATCTGAAGCATAAAACTGCATAGACTAATATAACCCCATGGAGCACTATGGGACCTACTTGGACCATTGAGGACTTACAGATATAAAACTACATGGTAAGATAAAAGAAAGTACTACGATTTACTGTTGAAAATCATTTTTTATTGTCTAAAGAAAGGGTGCTTTTTATTATCATTGTGTTGTCTGAATCAGTATTGAATATCGAGTCTATTCATTAGTATCTAGTTTGTAACATTTGTATTGTAACAACACTATTGCTTATCTACACTATGAGAACCCTTTGCATTTCTGCACTATGTATTGCAGGTCTGCCTAACATTTGCCTGGCAAATCCAAACTGATATTTCTCTGTAATTTTATACAGATTGATATCAGTCTGGTCTCCATGCCTCTGTTGTGTCTCAACCCCAGCCAAACATGATTGTGCAATGACACTGTCTTTTTTGAGAACCACATGAAACAAATGGGCTCACTGGTCATCTAGCAATTGCAAAAAAAATCTAATTTATCTCACCTCAGATCAACAGAGTTTACTGTTTCACTCATTGACCACTATGTTGCCAGTGATATTTTTTCCTTTATTTTTTCCAGTACGCATGGATCATGTGTGTTCCTGATTGACTAATCTACCTGTCAATAACACCCATTTGTAAACTGGGAGATTCACCAGCAGTGACCAGACTCACATCTTCCTAATGAAGAAGAAGAAGAAATGTGTATTCTAGATCCCAGGCAAACCTAACATAGAAATGTAGAATAAATGAGTACTGTAGTCTATTTTGTAGCAGAAGACTGTGATAAAGCATTTTAACTAAACTATCAATTTTAAAACAACATGCAGGTATGTGAAAGCACTTTTCTATCTCAACTGGACACATGACCTACATCAACTGTTACACCACTGTACACAGACACTGAATCCCAAGTGGGTTAGCAATGTGTCTTGCTCAAGAGCATAAAAACAGTAGCTCTAGTGGAAGCAGAGTTGGAATAAACAACAGCCCCCAAATACACTGCATGCCCTTTCCCTCTCGATTCAAAGGTCAAAATTTAACTGTACAACTAAAATGTTCTTTGCGGCTTGTATTTAAATTTTTTGACTTTCAGAAAATAGGTCTGTTTAGGACTCAGTGCTTCACTGCTAAACCAGGACCAAGGCAAATCTAAACCAAGACTAAACCAAGACTCACCCACACCAGTAATCAATGCCAAGTCCAAATCCAAACCACAAGGACAAACTGGACTGAAGCAGTACTAGATCAGGACTAGATCAGGACTAAACCAGGACTAAACCCAGTCTAACATGCATTAAATCAGGACTATATTAGAAGTAAAAAAGGTCAAAACCAGCACCACATCAGGATTTAAACCATATTTAAACTAGGGCTACATCAGGACTAACATGGTCAATGCCTGGACTATATGAAAACTCAACCAGGACTAAACCAGGACTACACCCAGAATAACCAGCATTAAATCAGGACTACATTAGAAAATAGAACAAGGCAAAACCATGACCACGACAGCAATAAAAAAGACCATATCTAAACTAGGACTACACCAGGATTAACTTGGTCCACACCATGACTACACTAAAACTCAACCAGGACTAAACCCGGTCTAAACCAGGACTAAACCCGGTCTAAACCAGAACTGAACCAGAACTAGCGCTGTTTACGACTTCAGGCTCGTGCGGTCGTCCGTAGCAACCGCCGTAGCAACAAAAGGCGGCCGAACATTCTCAAGAAATTAATCCGCGCAGGCTGCACCGTTAGCTAACAACCCCGCTCCAAAAGCGCTTATTACCTGCCTTTCATTCCTAAAAAAAAACCAAAACAAAACATTCACACCCGGTTTTAAAACATATTCCAGCGAAAACACAACCAAAAACGTCATTGCTGTCATGTCAATTCCATGCGGTCCGTCTACCTGTAATTAAAAAGGTTGGTAGGTAAGCTAGCTGGCCGGAGGAAAGTTGAATTCCAGTAGTGGCAAGCCCAGTCCCGAGGGGGTCGTGCGGGCAGTGTGTGTGCTCAACTCACGCTGCCTGCACTGCGTTGCTCCATGCTGCTGCTGCTGCTGCTGTTGCTGCCGCTGCTGATGACGGGGAATCCTCTCTCATAACCCCGCCACAGGGCAAGAAAATCTCCGGTACCGGGGGGAAACACCCAGCTGCTGCGTTCCGTCCGAAAGCCTGACCCACATCCCTAAAAAAATAGACCGTTAAGTGGGACAGGAGCCAGCCCCAGACAGCTCCGGTTTCCTCGGGTGTCGTGCCGTGCCCTATCTACCTACCAGCCCACCAGCCTACCGCCTTCTGGCATCGGCACAGTCAAGTGAACCACCGCATTCCCACATACACA